GTTTACCTTGACGGGCGCCTACATGACGGGGCCGCCACAGCCAGGGATCACATCGGTGTCATTGATGACCGAATTTGATATCCGATCTCCATGAGCTACGATGTGCTGCAAAATCGCAACGGGGCGCCGCTCCTAAATGCCGGGTCGAAAGCATCTGTCGATCTAGGGGAGAGGGGGAATCTGACAACACGGAGGAGATAAGTTCCTTCCCCTGCGTTTACCCTGTCGCTTCTCCTCTTTTCTGTTCCATCTAGGATATGTCACTGTCACATGATACCTGCTGCCAGTGTCCAAGAATCGTCATCGCTGGGATAGCATCTCGACTTTCTTTGCGACAGAGGCGGATGAGCACAGACAGACACGCAGTCTCTTTATTTGAATGCAGGTTTTTTGACACAACCCCCATAGTTCACACACACGGATTATGTGTAGTAGTAAAATTTGTACAAAACAGCCACCGGCATAACGGACAAGCACTGTCTGCCCGTGAGTCCTCATGCTCGGGATAGGCGCGCAGCTTGGTTCGGATGCGCCACTTGCCGATGTACTTTACGAACCGGCGCATCAGACTTTGCAGGGTCTGCCCACCGAGCTCGTCTGCCGCCTCAGTACCCCGTAGGCGAGCTGCTACCGCTTGAACCCGGTCTGTGGTGGCTGCGAAGAAGAGGCCCTCCGTACCATGATGTAACGGTGCGAGGAAACTCAATGGCTTGATTACACACACACACACACACACACACACAAACACATATATAAATATATATATATTCTACATGAAAACCAAGAATGCCTGAACAAAGTGGTGGGAGCGAGGTGGCTGCAAGGCCGACTGGCTGAGTGAGCACGAGGCATGTGGGTGAATACAAGAAGAATGCGGGACGGCCCGGACGGTGACAGCACGGGGCCCGAACCGCATCACCGCAATAAATAGCTGACAGGAGTGGCGGGAAACGAGCCAGCGATGTGGCGCTGGAAGTCGGACGCCCATTATTGTCTGGTTGTCTAGATTGCAGGCCGTATTCGAGACAATGGGCTGTGGCTTGCTTCCTCTCTCATTTCTCCCCCGTGCCGTGTACTCGGACGCCTATTCACCTACAGATACTCGGCGGATGAGCAAAATATATCTGCAAGTATTCATGGGACGATGTGACGGCGGAGGAGAAGTCCAAGGCCTTGGAGCAAGGGGGTGGACTGAGAGCATTGCGCCGTCGCCTCCCCGTCGCCTCCCCCGTCGTCAAGGTAACAGAAGACGGAATGGAAGCTGTTTCTCCCATACTATTCGACGACGGACAATCTACATGGGGGATGGCGGCGACAGGGGCGCCTGGTCTCGGCGTGACGGGCGATGAAGGCCGCCCAGCCCCGGGCCGTCTTTGCAGGCCAGGGATGACGGGCTGCGGCAGATGGTGGCTGCAGCCGCCGGCTAGAGGAACAAACAAGAGCAGGTGCAACTGCTCGAAGGCTCGACGTCATCCAAGGGGCGGCAGAGCTTCAATGCGACAGGGTAGGGTTTCTCTCCTGTGCGTTGTCAATAGCGGCTCTATTGATTCGGCCTCGGGACACCCTGTACTGGGTGTCTTCAAATTGTAAGTTGCCGGCGTGAGAGCGAAGCGTCTCGGTCCACGGTGTTCCGGCGCCACATGCTGCGTCAAGGCCGGACAGGTATGTACTGCATGTAATAAAATGGTCTGGCCCCTTGGCATATCTACCCGACCGGGCCACCTCCTGTGCCCGGCGTCGTCGAGACTCGCTGGGCGGTGGACACACGGGCATGGACCGGGGCCACGGGCCATGCGGTTGATCGGGGGTTGTATGTACAGCACAGCACGGGCGTTTATATGCATGTTGGGTCTTCGGCCTGGCCGTGAGGCGGAAACATACATGCTGTCTGTATCTGTACAGCATCGTGACGGGAGAGCTGGGGCACGGATGTGGTGGTCAAGGACAAGACGCAACAAGAGAGTACTCTTTCTGAGTAGACGTATCATGTATAGCACAGTCTACTTCATCCCAGTACAATACTGCTTGTTGGCGGGACCTTTGGACCACCCCGGAGCTCCCTGATCCTGGTGAGTGCTTGCAGGAGCATTGCCATCATCAAGACTTAGGCACAGGAACCCCACCGCCCTCAAATCCCTCTCCTTTCTTTATCTGCGCGTGTTTGCCAAGTGTTGGTTCCATGGTGCTGCACCGCATGAGGACCTACACAACATGACTGGGCGTGACATACGTTGATGCGGAGAACGCGGGCAACAAACATACAGTCCCCCATTCGAGTGAGCGCAGACATCTTACCACTCCGGTAGGTACCAATACTCCTCGACATGCAGATTTCTGCACATGTGGTATCCATACAGGTGCCTGTGTGTACATTGACGGACTCTGTACAGCCTCAATTCCCACATCTGTTGGCTGAGGAGCTTCCGCATGCACTGCGGAACCCTGCCCTGGATGTACGTGCATGAGCATAGCTACATGGTGCCTATGCTCCAGTTCCCATGCACAGTAGAGCCTTGAGTACTGTACTTGGCCAGTAATGCCTGTAGAGAAACCCAATTCCCTATCACGGCCGTTGCGCACAGCCCAGCCGCCCCGATCATGTTGGTTTCCCTTCCCCCTCTTCCAGGATGAGTGAGCCTCATGACTGATGTACCCTGCCGCCGCCCACCTCGACTCTGGACCACGGATCGGCATCCAGATGCAGGCTGGACTCCTTCCAGAGCACGGCCATCAGGGTGAGCGGATGATGGACGGGGTCCAGCCAACACATCCCATGCACAAACACTTCGTCTATGTCATACTTACCCGTAATGAGAGTACGCGACAGGACCAATAACATCACACGGACATCCCACCCTCTCATGAGGAAGGAGAATAGAAGACGAAGGAAGAATGAAGAGACAGAAATTCTTGCAGAGAGAAGAAAGATGCCGGCAGAGCTGCAGAAGCGCCAACAATCTGTCTAAAACATGCCTACCGAGCTACGCTGAAAGACTGCTGCAGGCAGGCAAGCCAGAGATGGTCAGGTACGAAGTACACGCTCCATACATGGCATGCTCTCGTCCGCGCAACCAGAGGCTCTCCTGTACGCGACCTGTGTACGGTACTGCATGAAGTACTCCGTACATGCGGTGTCCTGGCAGGTAAAGCAAGGTAAGATGATGACTTGACCGTCAACAGAGGGTTCAGGCCTCGAAATAGCAACGCAGATGCGCCTGTTAGTTAGTCATGCAGCAAGCCCAAGAAGACGAAACAGCCAGTGTGTAATAAGCTGTACGCGTTCTGTGGGAAAGCTGCCTATGACACAGTTCCTTCCAGGGCGTGCAACCATCTCTCCCTTTCTCTCTCCATGCTGCTCCTCCGCCACTCTCCCCCTTCTACTGGCTACCACCATGAGGAGGACACGATGATACTTATGGGAAAGGAGGGTCATTCAAATGCCTATGTGAAGCCTTGTGTGCAGGCCCCAAATCACAGGCTACTACGGCGTCAATGTAGCTTGATGAATTGCTGAAGGTTCACACATCGATTTATGTAAGTCAAAGTAACAAAGACAAACCCATACACTCCGTCTTGGCTCATACCGGGACCTCTGTCACTCTGACGCAGTCACTCCTCTCTTCGTGCCGGGGCACCCGCATCAACACGCCGCTCCCTCCCTCTGCCAGAGAGGGTGTTTGACATGGGTCCCGCTGCCTGTACCTACTTCGTACTTCGCACGTCGCACTGGAGCTGAAGCGGACAAGCCACCGTCCCATCTGGCTTGAGCATCGGCCCGCCGGTGCAGGCGACCTAAGCCTGCCTGCGCACTTCCTTGGACCATTTTTTATTGCTCACTCTCATACTCGCCTCGCATTTCCCATGGCCGTTCGTCCTCACTTCATCCTCCGCTGGTTTCCAGAATGCCTGTTTTGCCGCCGCGCCAGTCCTGTTTGCCATGTTTGTTCCGCCATTCCTGTAAAAATGGATGCTGTCAACGCTTTGCCCTCACTTGCGCCGCCTGAGTCCCTGCCGTATGGTTGAAAATACAATAAAACGAAGCAATACAGGCAAATAAGCCCGATCAAATCAACAATCAAAGAAAAGGAGCCTGACGATTTCCAAAAGACAAATGCTCATCCCAGTCAAAGTAGACTCCCCCCTGACCCCTAAAAAAACAAACTCAGGTTCGCACCCGTTGAGTCCCAATCTTTCTGTGCCGTAATCCTTGGTTGCTATGCGTGCGAGTGTGCAAACGAGTTCGTCGGAAAGCTTCGAACCAACTCTCCAACAGCATGATGCTCGGTTCACACCGACGCCTTCCTCTTCCTCGATTTGGTTCGCGCGTAAATCGATCTGAAAGGCCTTGTTGCCCCTCGCCCTCCAACTGTCGTTCTTGCTTGCTTTCTGGTTCGCCTCGAGAGCGAGCATTGTTTCTTCCCCATTCTCCCGTCCCGCTGTGTCCCCCTCTTTCCCCTCTGTGCTTTCTCCTGGTGACTCCTCTTTTGGACCTTTGTTAGATCCCCCTCATCTGCGGTGTGGCAGCCGTGATCCAGAGATCTGCAAGCCATCTTCCATCATCTTGCCGTCGACAGGACTTCTCCCTCCATAAGCAGCCGCGCCACAGCGCATGGGCGCAGACGACCAACAACGCATTTGTGAGTCTGGACAGTATAGAAGCAGCCCACATGGCGTCCACGGGGTTTCGCGCGCCGGTCACCCGCAAAAAACAAAAGCACAAGTCCCGAATGGGCCGGAGCAGACTCTAGCGGGCAGCGAGGTAACAACATGTCGTCTGGGACGATTTGGGGAGCTGATGCTCCAACTGCAGACCAAGAGGGGAGGAGGGTAGTGACAAGGATGTGTGGCAGGAGAGGGAGAGAGGGTCAAGAGACAGACATTGAGGGGAGGGAGAATAAGGCCCGTCTCCCCTTTCCCCTTATTGCCTTGTTCTTGAGCCTCTCCGTCACCGCTTACACATCCCCATGCCGTCTCCCAATCTCCCCCGGGCTGGAAACTGCTCACTGGGCGGAGACGTGGCGCGGGTAGTTGGTCATTCTGGTCGTCGGCCGCCGGATCAACTTGGCCCAGGGGTGGTTGCTAGGTTGTTGTCGTTCACGGCAGGCGGCTGCAGGTCTGTAAGTCAGCCTCATGCAAGTCGCGACAAAAAGAGGTTGGCAGGCCGGGAGTGACCGCGGCGGCAGAAGCAGCCAAAGACGGGGAAGCAGAGAAGGGCATGTTGGAAATTTAGCAACGCACAGCATATGTCGTTACCCCTGCCGAGATGAAGTCAGTCCAGTCCCTTGCCGTACATGCGCATGGGATGCGGGTTGGGCACCATGCATCTGGTCCCTTCTCCCAATTACTCACCAGTACTGCTTGCTTACGACGGTGGGTGGGCATCGCCGCTCCGTCTCGATGTACTTGGAACACCACGACTCGACCAGGTGGTAATGGTGCTGGCAGCTCAGCTCTTTCTGTTCCTCTGCTTAGCCAAGCCGCCGACTATGCCACGTCGAGAGGAGGAGAATCCAGGCCACACTCCATCTTGCCCTCTTCAACACCATCGTGAAAACGAGGGCCACGAGATGGATGGTCGCGTCTGAAACTTACGTATATGTAGTTGCACATGGTGACGCGCCTGTCGGTAGGGGCCGGGACGGACGGCGGCCTGAGGTAGTTGGGAGCAGTGGCCGTGTGCTTTGGCTTTGCTCCTCCACGCACGGGTGGACGCCAGAAGAGAGATGTCGGTTTCCGAATCGTCGAAAGCTCGTTGTCGGCTATGTTGCAGGGGCAGGCCGCGCAAGGCGCCGAGGCTGGTTCTCACGAAAAGAGGAGCAGAGGATGAGAACGGCGGGTTGAGGCAAGTTCTAGTCTGTAAAGAGGAGGGAAATGGAGGACGGGACAAGAGATTGAGGGTATTTGGTCGTGGAGAAGGAAGTCAAGGTAGGCTCAACAGACCATGTTCGCCACAGAGGCTGAAGGGGAGGCAGCCGGGTGTATTTAAAGATTGAAGGGACTCGGATCTGCACGATGTTAGTACCGCGTACTTGGTACCACCCATGTGGACGAAGGTTATCCCCCAATCCACGCGAGAAACAGCACAGTACAGTATGATGCTATGGAGGCGGACAAGGGCCTGTCCTGGCTCCGCTGTCTCTCTCCGCCATGAGGAACCAACCCTGGATGGCGGATGCCGGGAGCAACCTAGCTCGGTACGACCAGCCTGGACCTGGGGGGGTACATGGAGCACGGTACGCACCAGACAGCGTACAGTAGGTACAGGGGCTGTGAGTATTGTACATAGGCCCACCTGCTACAGTACGCACAAAGAGCATGCATGCATGTCTCCTCGTTGGGAGCGTACAAGTTATGAAGTTGGAAGGAGACGGGAGACCATACAGAGCGGCTTCGATACTCTGCAAAATGGCTTGTCTTACACTCTATTTCCGCCGTCTCTTGACTTGCTCCCTCTCTCTCATTCTTCCTCCATCTCCTCTCTCCCCGACCTCTTGGTACCCTCTCACCGTCTAGTTCCAGGACAAGGAGGGGGTGTATGAGGCCATGAGAAAACCATGTAGACATAGCAGGGGGTGCATGAGTGCGGATCCATTCATCTTTGGCTGGAGGGGTGAAGATTAAAGGGGGCAAATAGAGCATCAGGGGAGGGGGGGGGGGGGGGGGGGGGGGTGAGGGGCGTGTGAGAGGCTCCATGTCCATTGATGGATGGCTCACTGCACGCCCGGGGCACACAATGACAGGAAAAGGGACAAGAGCTGGGACAGGGCGACTTGCGAGGCGAGACTGTCAAGTCGTGACCTGGCATGGCATGGCGTGGCGTGGCGTGGCTGGCCCGCCTAAGTGCGATGATATCGGGCATTCGTGGCAGCGATGGGATTCTGCCGTGCAGAAACCCAAGCTAAGCAAGGCGTGCGTGCAGCCGCTGCACAGGCAGGCAGACGGTCTGCCGTCTAATCATTGCGTTTCCCCTTTGAGCCTTGCTCTTGGGGGCGGGTGCCCCTCAAAGCGTCGAGCAGGACGGTGCTGGAGCGGGAGCACTCGATCAGAGCATCCGGTTGTCGGCATGCAAGCCTCTCGCCTTTTCCATCTAGATGTTGCCAGGCAAGGTAAGGAGAGGCACTTGTATACATGGGTCAGGCCGGGGGGCTCTTTGTCGGTTGTTTGTGGCCAACCTCGCGTCGATTTTGGATGCCATTCATGTTAGCCAGCAATAGTCATGAACCAACATACGAGCTTTTGGGCTCTACGGAGACTGCTCTCCCAGATTATCAACGGCGGCTACCTCGGTCAATACAGGTCCACGACCGGGGGGGGGGCGGATTGCCAAATGGCCCAACGTGCCTAATAAACCACAGCCGGCCAGCTGCCTCCGGCCCAGACCCGTCTTTGTCCGCTGGCGGAAAAAAGAGTCACGAGGGGGAGGAGGGGGAAGATGTTTGGCTGCAGACAAAACAGCAGCATCATCAACGCGTGCCATACGCTGCAGCAGCTTGAGCACCGCGCCGGGACGGTGTCGTCGGGCACTGACGTACGAGGCTATGTATCTGCTATCTATCGGTGGTGGTGTGACCCAACTTGACTGGCCTGTGGCAGGCGAGGTGAGGCGAGGTGAGGTCAAAGGTGGGTGGTATCAGAGGTAAGGTACTGTACGTCAGCCTGTAGGCCTACCTACCTTGCTCGGTAGTAAGTTGGGCATCCTGTCGGTGTTTACCAGTGTGGGAGAGAGCCCTCTCTTTCCTCGACGCTTTTCCGCCGGACCCCTTTTGGTCGGGACGATTGGCACCACGATGTGGAGGAGTGTGGGTGATGGAAGCTGCCATCGCGCGGGACAGCCCAGAGAGGCTTGCTTGGCTATTCCAAACCCCTGTCAGAACCCCCCGGCCTTGGTGCTGCTTTCGCCGATGACGGGACAAGGATAAGGTTACCTTAACCCACGGGATAAGGGGGGAGTTCCTACAGCACTTGTGTCCACACTACCCTCTCACACACAGGCACTCGTCCTCTCTCGCTCTCTCTCTCCCTTTCTCCCACTCTCTGCTGCAGTATCCTTCCCCAGTCTTGCGCCACAAACGCCAAACAGGGGCCCCCTCGATGCTCCTCCGCAAGGGCCCCCCCTCTGGCGCTCCTCCTGCTCTTTATCACCGAGGAGCGGGCGGTTGCTACCCCTCAGAAAATCGCCTCCGTCTGAAACAGCCAACCTCATCCATCGTCGCTGTCCCACGTGGCTGGCCTTGTCGTGCAATCAAAGGCCTCCGCGTTGGCCGGCAATCACTCTTCTCCTCGAACCCCCTCCCGCTGCCTGACCGTCTTTCATCCAGTGTCCTTTGTCCGAGGGCCCCTCTTTCCAGCAGCTCGAGGTCACCTGCTGACGCAACCGGCGAATGAATCAAGTCTTTGGCTGCTGATCCCGTCCCCCGGATCGCGAAAACGCACCAAAGAGCAATCCCACGGCAAGGCCCGCTCCGACGAGGAATCCACTCGTTGATCCACTTGCAGATGCCTATGGCCGTCAGTACCAGGGCAGTACATGCCGTGTTGATGGCTTCGCCGGGTACATACTTGGTCGGCAATTCGAGTCGCCCATGCCGTTGGCCAATTCCACCACGGCTAACAATGCCGTGCTGTTACATGTATGTGTTTGCTTGTGTCCGCTCGCTTCAACATGGCCACTCTATACAGTAGCTGCCGTGTCGTCCGATCCATCATCCCCCGCCTGCACGACACGGTGGCGCCTTTGCGACCAGGGTCGGGCCCGAGATCGAGCCCGAGATGCCTCGCCATGGGCTTCCGTTCTCCTACGCCCGGTCGGCCAGCCGCCGCTACTGTATGTACGTCCTGGCAGGCGAGAGGACGGCCAAGTTGCGCATCTTGGCTGGCTTTAGTGCCCCCTCGCCTTGCAGCTGCCGGATCTGTTCCCATCATGACAGTTTGACCCTCGGTGCTTTGCAGACTGCGTGACAAAGCACATGCGACGCTAAAGGCGAAAAAAAGAAGCCATCGTATCAAAGAGCAGAAAGTGAGGGGACCGAGTGACGGCCGACGAGCCTGGTGAAACTGGCCCGCCGTCACCCCCCGGCTCCGCGGCATGCTACACGGCATCTCCTTGAAGTTGTGGCGACGGCACAACGGATCTGGAGACACAAAGTTCGCTTCTTGCACGACGTCGTCTATCAAGAGAAGCACCTGGGGGTGCCTTGGCTGCCAACCCTGTTCCCATGCCGTGTAACGAGGTCAGGGGGCCAAGGGAGGGGGTCAAGGCGAGGGCCGACTTTTTATCTTTTCCCATGGTCCCTTCCAGAGCCTTCCACGCATCGCAAAGGCAAGAAGGAACATGCGTGCCAGCCGCAGGAACCAGTTTCCAACGGCGGCCCCGAGAGACGTTGGGGGAGCGGGCTTGGACCATGTCTCTGTGCAAAATCACCAACACAACATGCACAGCGGGCCGCCCACCGGACCGCTGCGTCTCTTGGCCGTTGCTCTGCCTCAAAGACGACAAGTCGGATCCATGTCGTGCGCGAGCCGTGGCAACACATGGGCCATTGTCGAGCTGCGGGTGTGGAGCGCGAGACGGGCGGCTAGATGGCATTGTGCGCCCTCTCTCGCTGCCTCTGTCTCTGGCTCTCCGGTCTTTTTCTTGCCCCCATCTCGTCTCCCGTGCCAGCCAGCTGCTGCCTGGCCGTTTGCTCGCACTTACCTACAGACAGTAGACTGAAGCCAGAGTCGGACCTTGGGTGGCTCCTGTCGATCCGAATCCCACCATGCGGCTCCCATGTTCACCTCCCCCCAGCTATACTGACAGCCGGCTCTCGGTGCTGGGCCATGGGCGGCGTTTCGCGTCCGTCGGATGTGTGCGGCTCGGACATCCCGACGGTCCCAAGCACCATCGCTGGCCACGGGAAGGTGGGCGTATGCGAGCTTCCGCCTCTGCCCGTTCGAAATAGACGCCTGCTCGATGCAGGCTAGTCTGGATCAGCGTGGTAGGCAAAGACGTGGACAGACAGGCCAATCAGGGGCGTCCCAGCGGCCTGCCTCTTCACAGCCGGGACTCGGGTTCGGCATCCCACCGGCAGGTCTGCTTACTGCTTAACGCCGACCGGGAAGAGAGAGACTACATGCTTAGATCTCACCAAGCCCTGACGGCTTTGCCATTTCCAGGAACCGGCCATGCACGCCCAACGGGAGTTTGCCTGCTTCTGTCGATATGGGTCATGTACGGCACGAAGAAGAGGGCGCCAGGTCGGGGACTTTGAGTCCCGGGCCGCGACTTGTAAGGCGAAGGGCGCATGTACAGTACCGCGCATGGGTGCGTGGGTCCCATCCGGACTTCTCCTTTGGCTGGATCAGATGACTTACATGCTGCCCTGTTTCTTTGCTGTACGATCCGTCCCCGGCACGCAGAGCATCGAGGCTCCGTATCTTGTCTACAGCATACGACGCTTTCGCCTGAAGTCGATGGGCGCACGCGGGGGGGCAAGGGAAAGGGGCGGTTTTGACGAAACATTACGTATGCGCCCCGAGTGCTTCTGTGGTATGAATGGTAGCCATAATCCTGTGTATCGTGTCCAGACCAACTTGGGGCGACAGGGGCAGGGAGGCCTTGCTTAATGCCCCTACCACTACGAAGCCCACTTGCCTGAGCCCTAGGGCGATGGAGATGAAGTGCGTCGGCGCCGGCCCCGTCCCGGCACGCGTCGCTACATGCGGAGTACTGGACCAATCTGTCCAGAGAGCCTGGCTTCCCCTCCGATGGCCCGGGAGGATGATCAGGAGGGACGGATGTAGGTAGTTGCTCCCAGGCATGGAAAGTTTCCCCAAAACAAGGCAACCTAGAAACATTGCTAGATTTATAAACTGAACTCTGCAGGTTGGATTGCTTGGGACATGCTACGGAGACTTGCAGAGACAACCTGCGCATACGCTAGACTTCGGAGAACAGGCAGACACACGGAAATGCGGTCCGCGCCCAAACAAACAAACGTGCCGAATTGCCCCCATGTGCCTCCATCCCCCTCCTCTACGGAGTATAGACCGGGGCGGATCTTGTTGTGCCGACACCGTCTTGTTGAGCCGACAGACAATATGGCGTTCACCTCGCCTTTTTGACTCGTATTCCTTTTGTCCTTATCTCTTTCGCTTCTCTCTCCTCTCCCTCCTCCTCCTGCTCCTTCTCTCCTGGTTGAAATCACTTCATCAGTATTTGATGGCCCCCCTTTCCACACCCCCCCCCAGGTTCTCGCCAACTCCATCTGACTAACTCCCCCCCCTTTACTCATCCAACGCCCAACGAGGGACAGCTTTCGCCCCCCATTTGCCGGCCATGATTGGGCAAGCGTCCGCCAGCTGCATAACGCCGTCGTTGCCCTAAAAAGCTCCGAAAGAGCGGGACGGCGTGAAACAAGTTTGCTGCCGCGACATGCCGTTAGACCCCCGCACCTCCCTTTCCTCTTGATCCTCGACGCTGACGGTCAACCCAGATCATTGGGCGAAGATCCCCGACTACCTCCCAAAAGAAAGCAAGCGAGAAAAAGACATGGAGAACCATGAAAGGGTGGTTACTTGCTTTCTTTTTCCCGTCTTCCTTCTCCGTTGCCTTACTGTACCTTCTTGTTGCTCTTCTTTCCTGACCGTGTCGCGCTTTTCTTTTCTACGCCGTGGCCAACTTGAACACTCTCCCTGGCTGGAACACTGAGCACACAAGCGTTGTTGCCTCGCGTGGGCGAGGCCGGGGCTCATCGCCGGATCGATTAACGCCGTGGAAGGCGCAAAGAAGAATAAGAAGATGAGAGGCACTTCTTTGATGACCCCCTTTTTTCTTCTTCAACAGCGCATAATGCGTCTCTACTGCAAGAGCTCGCGCACACGAGCATCCGCAACGCCGTTTCACCCGTCCTTGGCATGCCCCAGAAACGGGCAGAGGAAGTTAGGAAGTGAGAGAGGGGAGGCAGTGCAGGCACGTCGCATTCCGTCTCGACGGGTAAGAAGAGAGGACTCGCCCACGGGGCTCCGCACTCGGCCGGCGCCAGATGCCGAGGGGACTTTGGGGCCCTCAATGACGAGCCGGTTGCCCACATGACAGGACAGCTTCGCCCACGCCCCTTGCTCGCCACCATGGCCCAAGGATTCGGGGGGTACGGAGTGCAGAAGGCACCATGTCGGCCCAATGACACGGCCCTGGGAAACGGAACTTGTCCAGCCCAGTACTGTACACATGCACCCTTAGCTGGGCTCACAAGGCTCATTAGCCCGCAAACGCCGGTGTTGTCTCTCTTTTTCGACTCACCCAATCTCTCCGTTACGGGACCTGTCATGTTCTCCTGTTTGGACGACAAGTCGAAGACATTCACCGGGAAGAAGAAAGTTGACGACGCAAGGGGCCCGTCCTTGGAGCCTACAGGGGCTGGTCTAAGCCAAAGAAACACTGCCCGCCGGGCCCCAGGAACCTTTATGACACACATATGTCGCTGACGATATTCGTTTTCTGCCCCTCTCACGAGACGGCATTGGAGAAGGACAGGGGGTGTGTGATCAATACGACCCGTTTCATGGACACCATGGTTCCACTCCCCTCTGCGCTCGAATCGCCTCTCCTAGTCCTTTGCACTCTATCTTGGTTTTGCTTTTCTTTTCGTCAATTTTTTTTCCTTGCTGTATTTCCTTCCCTCTTTCAGCTGCCTCACTTCACGCCCGCTTCCCACCGACTTCCTCAGCCGGGTCGGGACTCTGACATCCCGGGCAGATACAGACGCCCATCGCGAGATCGGCGCCATTGGCTTGGACATTACCCCCTATTGGGACATCGCTTGGAGGCCCAGTCTAGCTACGCTGATTACCCGCCCTCATTGTTACCTCAAAAGCAAATTAATGCAGCTTATGTAGGCGAGCTGTGCTGTATATTCCCGCCAACCCGGAATCCAAACACATACACATTATTTTGTGCCTATATATATACACACGTACTCCGTACGGGGCCCATCTATGGTGATGGGCCTGCACAAGATGCGTATTCCTACATCTCGCAGAACCATATTGGGTTTACGGGGGCGACTCGAGTTGGTCAAATCAAGCATCTGCCGCACCGAATGTAGACACAGTCCGCGAGCCCTTGTCAAGCGCGCGTCCGGCCACCGCGATGGATCAAGGACGAGCCCCGTTCCCCCGTCTCCTCTTTTCCCCATGGCTCGGAAAACCTCCGATCAACCACAGCACCCTGTCTAGCCCATTGAAGAAGCCCCTCCACTTAGATCTGGCAAAGGGCTTTGACAACCTAGACACAATCACCTCGCTCGCTCGATGATACCCACTGTCTGCCTCCTTCTTCCGAGATCGGGCTGCGGCAGGGTCGCGAGGATACGACGCTGTCCACGGGGATGGATACTGCTTCCAGATCCTCCCCTCTTCATGGTGTTATTCTTCCTACGGCGCCGGCGGCGGGGAACTGCGGCCCCACTGCCGTCGTCTGGTAATCGACCTTCTTCTTTTTTTTTCTTGCGAGGGCATATTTCCTTTGCCCTCTGGCCCCGTCCTCGGGACCGGTCGATTAGAGCCGGTTCCCCCCTGGTTGTGGTTAGTTCGCGCTGCGTCCAGGCTGATGGGCGCACCCTCAGCAGATCGGGATAACGACGGCGCCATGACGCTGACAGCACCGGGGGGAGGGGGGTCCGCGGCACTTTGGAGGCAGTCGAGAGAATTACAGAGAGAGTAAGGTGCCGCGGGATCCCCGCTCGACCAGCTGGTGGAGTCTAAGGGGGAATCGCATCAGACAGGGCGGCGAGAACTATGGGGAAGATGGACGGGGCCGGTAAGGCTCGCGGATGTCCCTCTCTTCCCAGCATATCTCGTCATCTTGCCACGACATCGAACCATCTCATCGGCCAGCTCCAAGCTCGTTATCTGCTCGCTCTTGTTTGTCTTTTTGTTTCGATCCCCCGGAGCCACAAATGAAAGGGGCCGCGTCCCCGGGCCGAGACCCGTGCAAGAGTCACAACCTGCTCCTTCAACTTTACATGGCGAATTGCAAAGGCCTGTGTGAGAGAAGGCATAAGTGTCAATTGACAGCATGCTCTTAACTTGGCGCGACCACATTTTTGCGTGGTCAAACGGCACACCGACCGTCTGACTTTGACAGCCTGCCTACGTCAAATGAGGGTCCATGTCATAAAACGATTGATCTGTGTCCCCGTCTCGATATATGCCCATCATCGCCTCAACTCCATGTACAACTTGAAAGGGGCATTCCCCGCGCCCCCTGAATAAGCTGCGCTGGTCGATGTGGAGCATCCTCGTCATCCCAGAGCGCGCCGCGGCGAGTCCGCCTTGGCAGACACGCGGGGCTTCAGTCGGGCAGCCAAACTATCAGCCCCTAAGGGGTGGAAAAAGCACGATGTAGTAACGAGGTATGTCAGATCGCAGCTAGGACGCCACAAGGGCAATCCAGGGGGACAACTCGCTTCATCATGATCCGGGTTAGTCGTCCCGTCCAACGCCGCTGGTCACTGCCACACAGTCTGCACTCCGTTGAAAAATATGTACAACAGCTGACCCAGAGTTGACGTTGCGGTCACATTGGATCTGCAGTGGCCTGCTTTCGTTGGCGATGTCGATGGGACCCCCTTTTCGGGGCAATGAAGCTGTTTGACTCGCTGTCTCTTGCATTCAACGCAAGTGTCAACGCCTAGTCAAGGCGGTGGAACCGACAGCTGTTTTTTATTATTTTACCGCAAGAGCCAAGTGCAAATGGCCAAGGAGGTTGTTTCCGTACAGGAAGATTAGAAAGAGAAAAAGAGCGGTCAACATGAGAAAAGGAAAAGATTACACATATCAACTCATTGACAAGGTGGCGTCGAACATTTATGATCGCTCTAGATGATTGAAGTGTCCACGCTCAATCACGAAAGCCAGGCCGCAGGGGCAGCTCTCAAATTCCCCAACTCAGGCGGCCAAGGATTCCTCGATCTCGTCCCGAAAGTCAGCTAACTTTTTAGCCAAGCTCTCCCCCTTGGTCTTCATCGCGCGGGACGAAATGTCGACGACCTCAGAGAACATGGAGTTGCAATCTGCTCCCCCACCCGCCGCCTGCTCCTCGTCATTGCGGAGACCTGGCAACAGCCTCGCTATCGATTCGCGAAGGCGCGCGAGGAGCTCCTCGCCCAACTGGACCGTGAGTGACAGCTGAAGCGTCGGCATTGAATCCACAGTGAACGTGCCAACCGTGACGTCGGGGAGCTTCCAGGATTTAAACCGCGCGCCCGACTTTGCGTGCGGGAGCTCGAGGCGCAGGAGGGAAAAGACCCTCTGGTACAAGTCGAGCAGGCGGACGTAGACGGAGAGGACAAACATGGAGTTTCCGGGATCTGAGCCGTCCAGGAAAGTGTCTTCCTTAAAGTCCTTCTTAGACAGGCGCTCTAGGATCTTGGCCACGCTCCCGGAGAGATCGTACATTTCGTCAATGGGGAATGGAACGCCATCGGCCGCGAATGGTCCGTTGCCTGCCCCCCCCTGCTGCTGCGGCAGGATGGACGCAAGCGCCAGCAGACGAGCGTTGATGTTCGACAGCTGCGCCATCCAGTCGGGCTCTTGATTCTTTGCTTCCTGGTCGGGGTCGGGGTCGACCGGTCTCAGTTCAATTTGTCGGCGTCGGGGCTTCGATCGCCTTTGCTGACGACTCTCAGAGTTGAAGACTTCAGGTACGCAAAGCGATCTCCTTGCAACTGTGATAGGTTCGACACGATGGAACTGATTCCCGACACCCTCTGCAAAGGAGGTGGGTGGCGCTTGATGATATGTTTCTAGTGGGGCAGCAAGGTGCTGTTCCCAATGCTCTAGGAATGGGCCTGGGTCGTGATATGCTTCGACTGCTCCGTGTATCGCAGACAAGTGGTCTGCTTGTGAATGCGTCAGAAATTCTGGATGTCCAAAGTCGTATCCAAAGTTCCCAAGGTCTAGGGAGGCTTCGGGTCCCACGGCGGAATGAGTTGTTGTGGTGAGTTCCTCAGTCTGAGGAGTTGACGAGTCTGCCTCGCCTGAAGGGGTGAGCCGTTGGTCAAATATATTCGGTGCCGTCGACGAGTTATGAAGAACACGCCGACATGGGGAACTTACCTGTTTCGGGCTGAGCCGTATTCAGTTCACCCCCGGTTCTCCGTCTCTTCTGAGTCCTCCGTTCAGCCAGTGGCCCCTGGCTGTCTGTGTGGGGGAGCTGTTGTTGATTTGACGGAGTTATGTGCAATTGGTAAAGCTGCTGATGAGCCTGTTGCTCCAGCTGTTGTTGCTGTGGTTGCTGTGGTTGCTGTGGTTGTTGGGGTTGTTGCTGCTGTTGCAGTGGCTGCGACTGCGGCTGTGGGTTTGGCTGCTGCTGCTCCTGTTGCTGCTGGCGTCGATGCTGATGCTGGGGCTTCTTATATCGCAAAGATGGACTAGACTTGCACTCGGCGTGTAGTCGGACGCAGCGCTCGCAAGCCTCGTCGGCAACACGCTTGCAGCTGAGCTTCTGGAGGTGGCAGCGATCGCAGGCTTTCCTAATCACATTATCGGCCATGGTCATAACCAATCTTTTTCGGCGCGGGTCGAGGCGGACAAGAGACATGTAGTTGGTTTAAGAAGACGTTGCCGAAGTAGGAGAGACACCAGGACCATGCAACCGGCCGCGGGAGATTCACTCCCTTCCTCTTGCCGCGTTTTCTGGTTCCTTGAGACAGAAGATGATCATTTCATTGGCCCTCGGTCATATGCTTGAGCGAACCCAGACCACCGGTTCGACACAAACGGCTGATGACTGGCCTCGGGTTTGATACACCGTTGGCGATGTAGAGAACCCTCCTTCTCTCGCTACCACTGGACAATCTCCAACCGTGGAGCTTGGCTAGACGAGACAGCGTCCTCTGCCCAGAAGACGGAGAGGTCTGGGCTTACACACCCGTTCCTGCAGATGCTCGCCTAATCAGCTTCTCGGCTCTTCATGTTGCCGCCTCGAAGGGTTCTCCGAATGGAAACACATCTACACTTTGAGACAGCCTGCCCGATCGTCTTAAGCTTGACCCGGCCCGCTGGGTCGGTCTCGCCACAAGGCCCAAAAGAGGAGGTACGGCGGGCGGTGAACAGCGGAAAGCTGATGGGACTCTTACTGTCTTTGGTCAATCGCTTCGAAGTATCGCGTAGACGTGTAGCTCCGGGGTTCATATCATCCCAGCAGTAAACCTCGCTTTAAGACGGATACCTCTGCTTCCTGTCCCGTCCTTGTCCGCTTTTGTAACACCAAATTCCTCCAACTGGAAGCGCAATGGACTCGTGCTCAAGCGATGTCTCCGGATCGCTGGATCGTTGATGGCAACGTGGAACAGCGAGAGTCGACGTTGTTTGGAGTTTCCATGCCAAATCTGGTACGTGTCCTAGAAGAACACCCCACCCTCACCCTACCGTAGGCGGCTGTGTGCATGCCGTGTGTATGGTATCACGGCTTGTATCCGTGTGACCAGGTCGACTCGGGCTCAGCAGATGAGCAGGAATAATAAGGTACGGGGGCTTTCCCCGTGGCTGTAAAGTCTGATTGGGAGCTTAAAACGGATGAACATGTTCGGGAGCAACTCTTTTCTGCGTCTCGTTTGTAGCGCCCAGACCGCCATCAGCTCCCGGAGGTTGCCTTCCGAGTCGACGAACACCGGCGTCTGGTCATGATTCAGTCAATTTCTGTCAAGTGCTGCACCCATCCATACACGTGGCCATGCCCGCTTCTGAGACGGGATTCGAGCTCGTTTGGCAGCTTGCTCAATGTTCGCGCACGTGTCTGTGTCGGGTAGTTGGGCAGGGGATGGATGCCCCGGTAATCCACATTATACGAAGCGAGATGATAATAGAAGGTCAGGGAACGCCTCGTAGCGATCTGAGTGCAGAAGTCTGGTGTCTCGGCATGGGTTGCCCTCACCAAAAAACAATGTCAGTTGCTCGCTCAGCGTGCAGAAGCGAAATGCCGGACACGATGGAAAGAATCAAAGCAGCATCACGGGTACATGCCACGACGTATTCCCGAGTCCTGCGAATCCCGATTTCGACCTCGTCCAGGTTCGCGTAACGTGGCTGCTTTCTCGCGTCCCGGATTTTCGGGATGAGGCAGAGGACCGACGCGGCGGCTCTACTTCTTAAGCAAGAGGTCGCGTCACTTTTGCGCGTCACGGTTGCTCGCTCGTTGGAGGCGGGCCGACGGCAAAACACCATGTTTTCATCAGGCATGCGAAGCAGCCAGCCGGACCTTGGTGGGGACGGCCTTCCCAAAATCCGTGGCTAGTAGCCCCGGGAAGTACTCGAGTGCTAAGTTCCATATATGAGCTTCTCTCAAAACGGCTCCCAGTGGCATGCATAGACGTGAGCAGAGTGTCTGGCTGCCGTGTTCGGCAACGCAGTGTTCAAACAATATACCGAAGACGATAATCACCCTCAATGTCTTTTTTGTTGAAGAATCGTTCTTGTTTCACAAGACTTTAAACTGTTGGGCCAGGGTCAGCGATGTTCGGGACCGTGGATGGTCGCACAGCACACGGCAGTGGCGAAATCGGGCTCCGCAAGTTCGGCCATGAAGCATGTCTTCAAGACACGAAGTGGACGGATACTGATCTCGGGGCCTTGTTGGTGCCTCGAACTGCACGGCGCAACACTTGAAAGAGGTAAGGGACGCCTTCTGCGTTATGGTACTGTGGCGTTGACTCAAGCGAAGGGGGCGTGAGAAGCGGCACTGCATTGTACTTGGTAGCGACGATGGTTGTGTAACGAAGCAAAGCTCGTGGTAAAACAAATGAGGAAAAACTGGCGGTGAAGAAGTCGTTTCTGTACTTGTACGAAGTGTCCTGGTTCCATTTGTTCCACGCCTCATCTACGAGGCACGCCGGAGCTGGTGTTCCTCAAGAGGGGCTTCGCTATCAGAGAACTCGCAGATGTTGCCGAAATGGAAGAATGAGCATTCTATAGCCACCTAATTCTGTTCTCGCGCACATTGATGTCCCGTGAAATGATGTGCACCTAGTGTCAGTTTTTACCATGGCCATGATGCCTACGCAGAGCGGCTTGTCTAGAAATCAGCTTTGTTTTCATGTCTCCTTGAACGTTGGCTATTGGTGCAGTGGACACGCTCCAGGGGCTTCATACATCTCTGAGGCAACGACAGAGCAAAGCCCGAGGTCAGGTCGAGTTCATCTCGAAGCATGCGATGCTTGGAGAAGTTGCTGGGTCCACACGGGAGTGTGCTGTGTCGAAGCAAGCACGGGGTTCGACCGAGAAATGCTTGTAGCCATGGCGAGGCAGAGAAGAGCTGACCATCTCCGCCGCCGGGGAGATATCGAGTGTGAAACCATCTCCCTTCTCAACGCGTTGGCAGCTGGGTTGAAAGGGTCTGTGCAGAACGACGACGCTTTGTCAAGCTGAACAGGCAGTAGGGCCGTGGGTGCAATTTTCGACAGCAACTTTGTGCTGTTCAGAGTCGCGGCCTGAAATCCCGAGGCGCACTCTATATTCTGTTAGCTGCCTTTCTCCTTTGCGTCCGTCGCCGTCAAACACCCACAGGTCGGTTGCATGTACGCCTGGAGGCAGTCAAATGGTCCTTTGTAGCATAAGCAGCCCATATGTCATCCAGTAGCTGGTGCGACGAATCGAAGTGGAACTAGAAGCGACGGTGACGGTCCCTCAGAGTCGGTATCGAGATCAGAGGCGGTGCACAGGCCGTCCTTGGCAGCGCTGATGCCATTCATGGGCGGCGCTCCTCGAGTTGTCATCTCGATGGAGGATTCTCCTCTGGGTGGTCGACGTCGACGTCGGGGCACGGTTGCCAAGTCGGGTCTTTCCAGGGACTGCTCGTCGGCTCTTCAGATCTAAGATGGCTGGCGGGATTGCTCCACGACATTTGGGCGTGCCAGCGTCAAGGGCGAAAGAAACAAGAAATGACGCAGCAGCTGGAGGCAAGCTTCCCAATCGCAGAACGCATCGTCCACGTGGCCGCTGCTCAAGGCGCGCCTGCCACCACAACAGATCACGCCGTCTTCACACCTCGTCCACTTCTCTCTGTGACCCCCGTCTTCCGCTCCAGCTTAGCTTGAGCCGTATAGATATACGGCGCGAGCCCGCCCTGCCCTCGTTCTCTGTTTTGGCCATCATCCATTCGCCAGGCTGAGGTATGAAGAGAGGTGCTTGTCACTCTTCGGACCTTGAACCTTTCTCCTCCGTCTCGTCAGCCTCGTTCGTCTTTAGGCCGGACTCTCCGCTTTCTTCTCTTCTTTCTCCCGCACGACCAGAAATGGACCCTCCGACGGCCGATTCCGCTGCTATGAAGTTGGAGCGTGCTGTGATGCTTCGCGACATTGCAGCTGGCGGGGCAGATAGGTCTCTGGCGCCCACTGATGAAAAGGAACCCAAGATTGGGCCTCCGCTCGGCGGTGCCAACGTTGTTAGGCCGGGCCGCACAGCTAGCAAGGGGCGCCGCTCTCGGGGAGAGGACAGAGGCCCCAAGTACCCGTCAACTCTTCCAGCGAAGCGGTCCAATCTCAAGGCCGACTTGGACGAAGTCGCTGGCCATGGCAGCCGGCCGCGGGTTGGAGATGCCCCTTACTTTCCCTCGGGTGGGTTGAAAGAGAGTGTGCCTGTCGCGGCTGGTGCCGTTAGCAGTCTTGACGCAGCACCCGCTCCGAATCGCCATACCGTCTACCTTTCGAGTCTCCTGCGAGATCGAGATTTCCAACTTATACTAGTGCCGACAGGGACAAGGCAAGGTGCGCCTATCGCCAAGATTCACGACCGCCGCATCACAGACATTGGTCTCCTCATCAACGACACTGTTCGCATATATTCCAACTTGCCCACCTTGTCCTTGTCCATACCTCGGGCCGTGGAAGCGAATGAGCGGCTCCATGCGCCCGATGTAGACCTCGACCTGGTCGCTCACGGCTCTCTGTTGGAGGATGTCTGGTCGGGACTTGCAGACGAAACTAAGCACGATATTGCGCGCCAGCTCCGCAAGTTGGTCGAGCAACTGCGCAAGACTCCGCAAGACGCCCACCATGACGGGCGACGACTCTTGGGCTCCGCCTTTTCAGACAAGTACTCGTTGATGCTCGACAGATCCCGGGGAACCACTCATTGGGACATCGGGAGCACTCCCACGCCGCGCCAGTTTGTCGCTTTCCTTACCTCGACAATGCACCCCAACGCGCCTGTCGACGTAACCGCCTCGATAACGGCTCAGCTACAACATTCTGGACGCATTGTCCTTTCGCACAGCGAGCTCAGCCCAAAAAACATCATCGTGAACAACGGGGTGATTGTTAGCATTATTGGGTGGGACTACGGCGGCTGGTACCCGGAATGGTGGGATTATGTCAAGTTCTTCGAAGCTGGCACCAAGCTCCACGACTGGCACAGCTATGCCGACGAAATCTTCGAGAAGAAGTTTCGGCAAGAACTGGTGGCGTACCAGGCTCTCATGCGGTGCCACACGTCGTGAGTGTACGTGGTCGTGGAGTGCTGCTGCAACTCAATCAATACCATTGCCAAAGCGCGTGGGGCTGCCATCAACGCAGCATTCGTTCAAGTAGCAGTGTTTGGCATGGCGTATTCAGGCAATCACGTACTTTGATGGACGATCAATTGGCCTCGACGAGAAAACTGTGTGCTGGGCATTGCCAATGGTCGACCTTGCCACTTTACGAATCAGCAGGTGATGCAGGAGCCCGCGAGCACGCCGGTGGGAGGGCTTGATGAGGAGCTCGGATGCGGCGTGCAGACGGTAGCATCAACATGACATTTCGGGACCTAGAGAGTAGACTCGACGCATAACTTGGGTAGTTGTTCATTAGCATCTCCTATTATGTACAGCATTGCAACCCCGGGTGTCAAGCAGCCCTTGTGGAGTGTACACGCAACTGAGCCTACTTGTCGAAGCGCTTGGCCACAGTGCCCCAGTTGATGACCTTCCAGATGGCGTCAAAGTACTCTGCCTTGCGGTTCTGGTACTGGAGGTAGTAGGCGTGCTCCCAAGCATCGATACCGAGAAGCGGCTCGAGGTTTCCGGTGACGGGGTCCTGGTTAGCGCGGGTGACAACACTGAGGGTGCCCGACGTCTTTTCCTTGACGAGCCAGGCCCAGCCGGAGCCCTGGATGCCGGCGAGGGCAGCATTTGCCTGCTTCTTGAGATTGTTGAAGGATCCAAAGTCCTCGTTGATGGCGGTCTAAGATGCAACCATCAGTGGTCTTCCACATGGGGTTGGCCATGTAAGGACTATTCAAGACGCACCATGAGCTTGCCCTCGGGCTCGCCGCCGCCGCCCTTGCCGTTGGGTGCGAGGTTCTCCCAGAAGAGAGAGTGGTTGACGTGGCCGCCGCCGTGGAAGTTGAGCAGCGCGGCCTGGGCGGCGGCAGCCTTGCTATCGTTCTTGGCGTGGGCCTCGGACACGGCGTCGGCGGCCGAGTTGAAGCCGTTGACGTACGTCTGGTGGTGCTTGGAGTGGTGGAGCTCCATGATCTGGCCGGAGATGTAGGGCTCGAGAGCGCCGTAGTCGTCTTGGCAGAGTCAGCATCTGCGACAGGCCGGGCTCATCCCTCGGGGGGAGGAAGGGTGTCTTCGTACATGCGAGGTCGGGGAGAGTGGCCTTGCCGCGGACGAAGCTGGTCGAGGCCATGGCGGCTGCTGGTTTCGCGGCGCGGGCCCGGAGCCCGGCTCGCAGCACGGGCGCTGTGCGGAGAAGGGCGTTTGACATTGTGACAAGGGGCTGCGTGCTGGGTCGAGGACTAAGTGAGCTTTTCAATCGTCCCTTTTCCCTTTTGCAATTCCGACGTTCGAGGGTATAAGATGGGCTGGGTGAAGGCGGCGCAGGACTCTGAAAAAGGTGCAATGGCAATTCGATAGGGGCTTGGGGAATCCAAGCGATGCAACGTACCAACTGAAAGGCGGGGGAGACGGCGCTGAAATAGTGACGGACGTGGGTGGATGATGTCAAGGGCGGGTCGGCGAGGTTATTGCGAGCTCAAGGGGAGAAGCTCCTCGGATAGCCGAGTTTGTTTGAGCTCAACTTCACGTCATCCGGGGCTGGTGCGGGATCGGCTTTGTGGCGCGCCGGCGGGGCATGTGGCTGGGTTCTGTGCAGGGGAATTATGATCCATGTGATTGGATCAGCGCCGACGTTCACGATGTTTTGGATTTTGGATACTCATCAGGCAGTCATTCCCTTGCGACGGACGAGAGCGCCTTTGTCTCGCACGCATTCTTCTACAAGGCAGCCTTCTTTTCATTCGACAATAACAGGCATACCCGCCCGTCCCCCGACAGTGCCCGAACCCTCCAGACCGACTTGCTGAGCCGGCTCGGCTGGCTCGCTCGGCCGGCTCGCTCGGCCGATGGTCACCCGCCAGAGCGTCGGCGGCTTTGCAACATTGCCGCGGTCCGAAATCCTCGGTCGTCGCCAAGGCCGGCCGTCTCGGAGGGCGAGCGGAGGTCGCAGGCGCTTCATCTGCAGCGATGTGCTGACATAATCACGACCGTTCTCCACCCCGGGCAACTAACGCATCCCTTGTCGGCGCAAGACAGACGAGACGGCATCACACCAGCGGCGCGCGCCCGATGCCGACAAGACAGACGGACGGCACAGGCAGCGGCCCAAGATGTCGTACTACGATGTCGACGCCATCCTGACCGACGCAGAGGTATGTCTTGTCCGCCTTCTGCCCGCTCGACACGCACAAATCCGCTCATGTCCTGCCAGAAAGTGCCCTGCCAGTTCGAGCTCGACGTGCCGTACCTCGGCCACCTCGACTCGTCGTCGTCGACGGGCCTCAAGCCCGGCACCTCGCTGACGCTGCCGCTCTGGCTCGCCGAGATGCTCGCGCTGGCGGCCACGGGCGAGGACGCCAAGGCGCCGCTGACGCTCAACCTGCCTCCCTGCCTGTCGGAGCGCGTCGCCGCCGCCCTCAAGGCCGACCCGCGCGCCGTCGCCCTGCGCGACCAAAACGCCCACTTCTACGGCGTCGGCGTCCGCATGCTCGACCTCTTTGACGAGCGCGATCTCGCCGCCGTCCTGCGCCGCACCTTTGTCGTCAGGGCCGCCGATGTCGGCCTGCATGCGCGGAAGGCTGACGAGGCCGTCGGCGGGAGCCAGAGTGAGGAGTTTCTGCGCGGGCTGGATGATTGGGAGAGATTCCTGTTTCGAAGGGGTCATGAGGGCGTCAAGAGGGCCAAGGAGTGGATGGATAAGGTCAAGAGGAGCTGAGAGTGGCTGTTGGCGTTTGTCGGCGAATGGATATATTGAGCTGTTGGCCTACTTGTCCAGTTCTCCGTCCATGTGGATGGCTGGGTGAGTAACAGAAGCGACGGCAACGATACCCGGGAAATGCGTCGGGATTGTTTTTGCAGGTCCAGACACAAACAAGTTCCTTTCTCTGATACCCTCGTGGCTCAACGGGAAGCCTCAAGTGAATCATACACCGAGAGATGGGCCCATCCAACTCCCCGATCAAACATGTCCCCTCAGCCATACACGCGCCCAATCGCGCACAGCCCAAGCCATCAACACCGCCATGCCAAGCGCCATCCACCCAAACGTGACAAGCATGTCGCTCATCTCAAGCAGGATGAAGTACCGCCCCGAGTGCCGCAGAATGTGCAGCGTCCCGACGCAGCACGCGCAGGCAAGCAGCAGGACCAGGCGCGGCCACCTCGTCGTCGTCGCTGCCGACACCGAGCGGTATAGCCAGCGCAGCACGAGGCCGGCCTGGAGCGCGGAGCGGGCGCGCGGCGTCGACTCGAGGACGAGGCGCCGCAGAAAGGCCGCGTCGCATGGGCGCGTGCTGAGCAGCAGGCGGGCCGTGGCGTACACGTGTGCCAAGGCCCAACATGATTCGGTGTAGTGGCGCTCGAGCAGCGTGAGGCCGGCGACGAGACGCAGCACGCAGCGCGCATCCGACGCCATATCTGAAGACTGTCCGTGGCTGTCGTCGGCGGCGGCATCCCCATCGCCTTCATGGCCGCCCGGAGCACGCGCCCGTCTACCCACCGACGGACCCCGCTGCCGCCGCCGAGCATCCGCCCCGTCCACAGGCCGCCTCGCCATTACAGCCCGCGCCAGCACAGATAAGGCGGCCTGCTGACACGCCCAGCGGCCGACGTCGGCCCAGGCAAAATCGAGCAGCGACGCCTCGAGCAGGGCGTGCGGCGCCGACCGCGCAAGCTTCATGTCGGCGACGACGGCGTGGTGCCATACAAACTGCCCGAGCCACGGCACCAGCACGCGGCGGATGTGGTTGGCGACGACGGCGACGGCGACGTACGTGGCAGCACGGCCGTATCGCCCGCGCACCAACGACGCCTTGAGCGCGTGGGGCTCGCCAGCGTCGAGGCCGTCGAGTGGTGATGGCGAGTGCCAACTTGTGCTGGCCAGAAACGCCGGCTCGCGTGGCGGCGAGCAACGACGCAGTTCGGCAAGCCGGGTCTTGTCCCCTCGGCCCATCGCTGTCACCAGAGACCCGAGAGTTGAGTAGAATCAGGCCCTTGATCCAAGGCGATATCGGCATAGTCGTCGCAACTGAGTCTTAACACTCTCGAATGAGAGCAGGGCGATTTGGGCGGGGAATCAGCCACGAAGCCAGCTTCGTGTCTCAGCCATATTTTGGCCCTCTCAACCCCGCGGACTTGTGCTCTGCCTTGGTGTGACAACTGGGACAGCCTCATGTTCAGTGACTTGTAGCGTAGCGTCGAAACCGCGATGCTGTGACAGACCTGGCAAGCTTTAAAGGTCCATGAGCATTCGCAGAGTCGTGAACAGGACGGGGGACACATGGTTCTTGATGGATTGCGTCTATATGCAGCTCTTACTCCGCTGTACGACATGGCAGTCAGACCCAGCACTGGCATATCCAACCAAGGCTCGACTCCCGTCACCCGGCACGGAACAGAGCATCGAAGCTCCTGTTAGCGCCAGGTAGGTGGGTTGATCCAAACTTCCAAAGCATAAATCGCCGCCCGTGTCTGAAATCCAAAGACACTTGGTCGTCGACGATATTATTCCCAAAAACGCCTTCTCCTCATGATTCATATCTCGTGGCCAAATAGTCCCAAAGTCTTACAACGCCGGCTAGTCCAAACCCCATGTCCCAGATGCCACGACAACGCCTCGCCTTCAGCCAAGCAAGCAATATGCCAAGCCGCCCAGGTTGCCTGTCCTGGTTCCCGGTCCCTTCCGCTGACGCCGATGAGCCATGCAAGCCAAACAGTCGTGATAAGGCGATGAGTAGAAACGTGAGTGTGGTTACAGCCGCAGCCCCTTTCCAGGTTTGCGCTAGTGAGCTGTCTGCATCCGCGCAGCTAGGAAACGTATCCCCGCCGACATCTATGAGAAAATGGAAACCCCGAGGAAAGCAAGTTCAAAGTCCAAAGCGCGTGAGCGTAGCAGGTTGAATCAAAGGGAAGGAAAAGGGCGGGGAGCAAATATCAAATCGGGAGAAAATGAATCGTCAGAAATCAGTAAAACATGAAGCAACGGACGGCCGTCAACTCAGAATCAGATTTTTTTTTGGGATTTGCTTGTTTTTCTTGTTAACTCAGTATCGCTCCGGTCGAACCGAGAGCGGGACGCTTCGACGGGACTGAGATCTATTGGCCGATCAACGAGTCGTCAACTAGACACCTCGTCATTATGCACAGGCGAGTTAGCCTCGTCAACAGCAGATGCCGTATCGAGCAGAGACTGCGCCAAAGTGTCATGAGGCCGGGCCTTCAACGTCGTCCATGCTCCATAGGCAATCCGAGATGAACTGAGAGTTTGGATCGCAAAACTGGGCAGTCATGGCGGGGTCAAGTGACGACGCAGCGGCCCCGTAGGCCAGCTTGCAATCCCCGGAGAGCGTGTACTCGTGAGTAGGCCGCTCCGCATAATTCATTTGCCCGAACCCAAGGCAGTTCATCGGAACGATACCAGGCCCCGCGGCGGGAGAAACAGACACGCCCCCGGCTGCCTCCTCAAGACGTTGTCCCTCTACCATACTGGACCGAGGCAGGCCGTACGTGCTCTCAACGTCAAAGGCAGCTGAGCCGCTCTCCGGCTCGGGGAACAAGTCCATGGTCACGTCTTCCCCGTGTTCGAATGGGTCGTCGTCCACCATGTCAAAGTTGTCGTCCAGCGTGTTGCCGTCACTAGGGACGAGCACCTCCTCGTACCACAGCTTGAGGTCAGACATTGGGGGCCAGTCGCCACCTCCCTTGCCACCACGTCTCTCGTCCGTCGGGCCCTTGTTCTTGCCGCGTGGCGCTCTGGGCTTGAAATGGGTTCGGCGCAGGTGAGCGGCCGCGTTGTAATAGGCACCATACTGCTTCTTTGAGGTGCAAGCTCTGCACTCGGCGAGGGGGTAAAGGGCTTTGACCTTGGACTGGATCCCCACAGACGCGGGATCTCGGCACACAAATTTCTTGACGACGCCCTTATGCTTAGCGTTGAGGTGTCGTCGCAGCTCATGGTCACCTCGGAAGCCGTCGGGGTGTTCTTCGCATTGGTTGCAGTAGACCCGGGGGTGCTTGGGCCGCTGGTAGGGCGTCTTTTGCAGCGCAACCTTGCCGTCCCTCTTGGAAGGCGCAATGCTGCTGTGGGACTTGTCGACCAAGGCTTCGTGTGGCTTGGGCGCAATCAGATTCCGGTCGCTGTTCTGGCGCACTCTCTGGAACGCCTGCTTGGATCGCCGCTCCAGGTTGGAGCCGGCCGACTTGGCGCTCGCGTCGCTGGTGTTGGAAATGGACCGTTCCATGGAAGTTGCGGTGGCGGTAGGAGGACATAGGTTCGTGCTGGGGATGGGAGCCGACGAAGGATAGCTCTGAGGCATGTCTGGCGGAAAACCGGCTCCGACGCCAAAGAAGTCTTGATCGCAGGTGGAGCGCTTCTGGACGCCATCGGCGCCATCGAAGGCGGCGGCGGCAGAGGAAAGTCGAGCATCGGTGCCGGTTGATGCATCCGTTTGCCACGATTGAGACGAAAAGAAGCGCATCATTTTGGCGCCGGTGTGGCTGTCAAAGGAGCTGCTATGGCGAGTCAGGGGTTGCGACAGCTCGACGGCCGAAGACCCCGAGATCATGGATGGGCATGCCGACGGACCCGGGCTACTGTATGCGACGCTGGGCGACAGATTGGTCCTCGTCATGGCCAGGTACGACTGCTCGCCGAGCCACTTCTTGGCCAGGTACACGTCGGGAGTGATGCCGACGTCAGGGAGGTCGCCATCCTCTTGGACACTCGGGAGCGGGCGGCTTGCAGGGCTGCCGCGGGGCAGCAGGCGCTGATCGGGAGAGATGCTGCCAAAGGGCTGCTGCAGAGAAGTGCCTTGTTCAGATCGACTGGATGCGGTGCGGTTCATGGATCGAGCCGCGTGTTCTTGCTGAGAGACGGCCCTCCGTTGGCGCATCATGTCGTTCCATCTCGAGCTGCGGCGGGTCTGCTTGCAGTGTCACAAGAGCACACGCGATGAAGGGCTTGACTGAAGGCAAGGAATACTAACCGGCACGGGGGATCCGACGACTGGAGAAGCCTTGCTAGACCGGACCGGCTGGACGGGGACAGAAGCCAAGGGTTCAGCGTTTGCCGGACGGAGACGGTCATGGGCACCCGAGGGGACATGCGGGGATGGGTCGAGTTTGTCTTGAAGAAGTTTTCTGTAATGGGCGGCTAATGTCTCGTGCAGGACAATGTGGCGTTGAATATCCTGTAGCCGGCCAGTGTTGTCGGGAGGCAAGTTCATGCTGGACAATATTGGCCCCCGTTGGTGCCTGAGCCGGCAGAGCGGCGAGTGTTGAAGGCGAGCAGTACAAGTGTGACGACGTGCCAGCCTCGCTGGTGGCAGGGAGTTGAGAAGGGCAAAGGACGAAGACGCGTTGCAGGTTGGGGAAGACGAGAAGCGGCGGCCAGTATCCAGGAGTTTGTCGAGATGGCAATTATGGCGAAGAGGAGTAAAATGTGAGGCGGCGACGGCGGCCAGTGATTGAATGAGGCGCGGGCAAGACAGGGGCTGGATTGGAGAGCCGTCGGGCTTGGACTCGTCGTCCCGGGGGTGGGCGGGCAGAGTTGGGCGCCGGGGGCCGGGGTCGCCTTGGTGCCTTTGTACCCTGGCCGAGTGCCCTGAGGTATAGATACCGAAGCCCAGTATGACCAGCGAGGCACAGGCGCGGTAGACGAGTAGCCTGGTTGCTGCGGCGTGTGAGCTCATCTCGGTGTGTACGTTTCTGCGTCGTCGGGAGAGGGAGATAGGGAGTCGAGAGCGGTGGGAGGCACTGCATGAGGACTCCCCAGGGGGTGCTGTATGGGGTGCTGTGTGGGTGCCCAGGCAGCCAAAGATGGCATCGGTATCATGGCCGTCGATATGGATGCCGGGGTCCATCTGTCCAATGCCAAAACTGGCCGTCGAGGGGACAGCCGGTTCTCGCTCGTCTGCTGACCCTCTCTGCTGCCAGGTCCCTCTTCAGCCGAGGCCGTGTCCGCTTGGCCGAAGCTTTGGTCGAGACGGGTGCGCTGGCAGCAGCGAGGCCTGGGGTGGAGTGGATGGCTGCCCTGGCCGTGAAGCACGTAGGTGGAAAAAGGAATATCTATCGGTAGATGAAGCAGGGCGCTGGATGACCGTGGTCCATTGCTCCATTTCCATTGGCGGCCCCTTCCCCCACCCCCTTCCCCCCCCCCCATCCGGGACCCGCTGTCTTGGTTCTCGTTCTAGCGGGCCCTCGGGGCATCTCGCTGCCGACTCGGGCGCTGGCTCCAGGCGTTCAAGGCCTGGTCCTGGTCCCCGCCCGCCCCGCACCTGTAGCTATTTAGCGGGGTGCGCTTGGTGCGCCCAGGTGACGCCCGAGTTCTGTAGAGAGTAGATGTTGTGCTGTATTACCAAGAACAGAGAGCCTGCTGCAAAGCACCTCAAGAAGGGGGATTGGGGGATTCGACATGTTGACAAATACCTCAGCCACGGGCCTCTTCAAGTCTTGATAGGCGCCCGCCAATCCCCCACACCGATCCTTCCATCCATCTGCGCGTCGACCAAGAGTCCTGTCATCTTGTCCCACCGTCCTTTGGGCACTGCGGCTGGGCTGGGTGCCCATGATGCTACCCAGTCAGTACCCAGGCTCCTACTCATCTACTGTTGTACTGAAACTACTAGCAAGCTCACCAGGCACCCGCTTGCCCGCTCATCCAAGCCCAGGGCTAGGCTGGCTTTGTCCGACCAGATCGACATTCCGCGATCCACGAGAGCCTCTGAAGCGTGCGCGAACCGGTGGCTTCCGCGTGCGAAGACGACGGACTCGAGACAGGGCTGAATCAGTGTCCATGCGAGTCTCACTCCCGCCTGCTGCACGAGTCGGTGACGATGATCAGGAAAATAATAAACAAATTGTCCCAAGTCCGCATGTACCCGCCCCGGGGTCAGCTGCCGCACTCGTCGAAGCCGATGCCAGGCGCAGTTGGACCGTCGTGTAACCCGTCCATGAAAGCTCACCCCTGGCGTGCGCTGCTGCCGTTGGTGGCGTCTTTCGATTTCTGACCGTCTCCGATCAATGCCGCCTGGCCACATCATGGACATCTCATCTTGGGCATGGTACCGATGGCCGTCGCTGCGCATCGAATCACTGGGCCTGCATCGTGAAGCCCCCTTTGCGCGTCTAGATCAATCTCGGCGCGTCTTTGTCAACGACCCAGCATCCAGGATCCTCGCCAAAGCCCTCGACATGCCCTGGAACAACCGACTGAAAGAAAGTCCCGAGGTCCACGTGGTGAAGCCTTTCTACAGCCCAAGGCACCACTGAGAGCAGCATGTCTACTCTGGTCTCGAGCCAATGACTACGCCCACCAGCCCTCCAAGCCCCCTTTTCCCCGTGGCCATCAACGATAGGTGCTTCACGCAAGAGCCTTGGCTATCCGCTCATCCACGGCCACCGCCTGGAGCACTTCAGCGGTCCAGGTCTTGCTCCGTGCTGTCATGCGCCACCAAAGCCAAGGTACATACATGCAGGCCGTCGACCCTGAACACAAGCATCATTGGCTCACGGCCCTTCTCCAAAGTGAGGCGAGCACGTCTGGTTTGGTGTACTGTAAGTACACCGAGAATGCCTGCGTGTTCCGAGCTGTGCGAGGTACCGTCGTCACGGCAGGCACTGTGCATGTCAGACTGATCCATGCAAGTTACAATGTCTTCTCTGGGAGGTGGGAAACGACACGTGTACGTGGACAACAGAACAGTCGTCTGGTGCCGCGGAGTAAGTAGCACAGCCGGTGTCCCCGGTGTTGAGTCGCGCCTAAAACGCCCAGTTAGATGCGATTGGAGTTTCTGGCACCCCCAAGATGGGCAGAGTCGACCCACAAAACAAGCACACTTCTATCCAATCCATTCATCTCCTCTCTAGCTAAGAAGAGGAATTTGGCCCTGTGCGTCAGCTGGTATGGCCACACATCAAGCTGCTCGCTTGAAAGGTCGACGTCACCGTATCCTAGCACGCAACGAAGCTGTTACCAATACCTCTTTCGTTTAATAGCCTCGTCAGGTTCTTCGGCCCTTCATGCAGCCACATGACTTAGATTCCTACTTGATCTGGTCCTCTGAGTATTACACGCGTGTTTCTAGCTGTACATGTTCCTTTATGTCAGACATGCTAATCATCGTCTGAGAATCGTGAAGCTTTTGTCGCGGGTGTCCCTTCGTTAGGCCGTCTGCTCGCATCTGTGCCGTTGCAACCTAACACACCCGAATCCGCCCTTCCTGGCATTCCTGCCGTAGCCAATGCAAGTGAATATCCACGTGTCGTAGCCATTTCAACATCTTTCTGCCGCCAATCCATATGACGAACGAGCTCGTGCCGTAGAGATAGAGAATAACTCGGTCTGCTGTTCGCTTGTGCGTTTCATTGGGATTGTGGTTATGACTAGCTGATCTCGAGCCTGCAAAGGCAGTACCTGGCCAAAAATTGCCGCAAAGAAGATTGGTCCGACTTCAGTTAGCGTCTCTATGTTTCCCCTTTTCTGCTTAGTTGGAAGCCAGAGGCAGTTCTTCTGCCGTGCCGGCAGGGCCATTTTGACAAGTCATACCGCGGGGAGATATATCCTGCTCTTGGGGTGAACATATTGCAGTCAACGGCTCTGCGTAGAGACACGCAACGCGTGTCGCTCCAATGGCAGGTGACTTGAGTCATATTGATCAGGCAACGGGCGTAGCTCCGCGGAGAAGAAACCTTTTTAGAGAACGGGGTCGGGACGCGGAACAGGCGCAAGCTGGCTAACGAACGAGCTGAAAGTATAACCGTCGCTAGTTATTTAGACCGCATAGCTATGGGAAATGACTGATTGATTGCGCTTAATTCTCTAGGATAAGCGTTTGCCGTAAGGACCTTACGTATCTACTAAAGGCGGCTTGGCGTCAATGAACGGACAAGGACCCTCATTCGTCCATTGCCGGCTTTGCTTCTAGATTCGTGACAAGTGTAACGGACCATCGTGTGTCACAAGACCAATGTGTAGGAATTACCTGTAGGCTAAACACCATAGAGTGCACCTACAAGTAACGGAAGCAGGCGAGGGCGTCAGGGACGCTACCGGAGGCACCAAATGCGGCAGTCACCATGTGGGACATGTAGGAAGTTACATACGGTTCCAGATATCTATTTCCGGCTTGTTTAGCTTGTTTAGTAAGGAACTCTGTTGGTCCCCATACATTATTTATAGTTACACCTGTGAACTCCACTAATAATGATAATAAGCTTGTATTTAGACTAGACTTGGCAAAAAGTACATGAGTTGAACGAAAACTAACGAATCATCTGCCAAGAGCGTTCTGTTAATGAAAACAAGTAGAGCCTTGCCGTCGTGGCTCTAGCTAGACTAAACACGACAGTAAGAAGCTGGCTTCGTACTATTATTTAAAAAGAAGATCAAAAGTCTTCTACAGCCTGGTTACTGATGACTTTCTGCTTACTGTTCGACCAGTTATATGATTAATTATATTATATAACAGGGAAGCCGTAGCGCAATTTACAAAGACCTCTATTCGTATTGATTTTTTCAATCTAATAAACTCGTGACACAGCCTTACACTTTGTCGAACCAGATCAGGTCAGGCAAATCGCTCTCGAGGTCCAGACCCATCTTGATTGCCGTATCGTTATGCAGCCTAAACTCAGCGTCAATGTCCTCCGCGTCTTCAATTCCCTGGAAATCGGTCGGCTGCATGTGCGCGATATATTTGGTCTGGTTGCATAGATGCTGGAACGTAAGCATGAACGGAAACGATCGATCCTCAGCGTCAACGAAGAGACTATCGTTACTAATCTGTACCGTCAGGCTGTGATAACCTCGGTTCCAGTATCTGCCGGTGTAAGCAGCGAGGGGCAACATCTGCGGATGTGGCTTCTTGGAACCGGGACAGTGCTTCGGCAAGAGCTCCGCAGTTGTTTCTTCCTCTTGTTCATGTCCTGCACTGCGGGGTTCAGTTTCGATCTTTTTCCAATCCACCCGCTCAGCCTCGGGGACTTTAAGGAATTCATCTATGATCTCTCGCATCAGAATGTTGATAATAACGTCGCCGCTGTCCGAGTTGTCGAAGATTGCACCGCCAGACTTGAATTCGGGGAGGAAGAAATGAGAAGTCTGGAAACCGGGATCGCTGCCATCGTGGCTGATGATTGCGTGACCCCGGTAGTAGTACGTTTCCCATCCAGCGCCATATAACATTGGGGAAGTCAACGGCCGGAGATGAGTATCTCCCGGGTCCTCGATTGTTCGCGGCTTGACGAGCCCCTTGTATACGTCCCGGGTAATAGGGTCTTCGTGATTCACCATGGCCTTGACCCATTTGATATAGTCATTGACGCTCGATATGACTAAGCCCGCCCCTTGAGCCTCGGGTTCGTCTTGGGCCTGGAGTCCTTGATATTGCTTGCTCTTTTCATCCCACAAGTATCCAGTGGCAATGCGGTCTCCAAGACCCTTGTCGCGAGCGCGTCCCGGTTGGAGGTTGGTCGACTGCATATTTAAAGGCTGAAAGAAGCGTAGTTCAAGAAAATCAGCAAAGGGGAGCCCGGTCGCCTTCTCAACCAAGTACGACGCCACGGTATACATCATGTTGCAGTATAGGTATTTTGAACGGAGGGGGGATGCTATGCCCAAGTTCCGTAGGTTCCTCGTGATTGACCGGGCGTTATCTGGTTGTGCTGCTCCGGGGCCCAGATATGATAGGTCATGGCTGTATGCACCCATGCTGGTAAGTACGAGAGTAATTGAGAGTTCGAGAGGTGCTTACTGCTTACCCGGCGATTCCCGTCCTGTGACTCAGGACATCTTCAACGGTAACGCTCTTGGTATACTCTTCCTCGGACATGACAAAGTCGCCGGGAAGCAAGCTCGACATGGTGGCTTTGTATTGCACCTCTGGGTAGTGGACATTGTCACGCACCAGGAGTCCGACAGATGCAGCGGTCAATGACTTGGAAGCAGACGCTATGTCGAACAGCGTGTCCGCTGTGCACGGTTTGGGCGGGTCGATGGATGCCCACCCGTAACCTGTGGAGGCCACCGTATTGTTCTCAAGGATTGCAATGGCTAGGCCGGGTACGTGTTGCGCCTGCATGAGTGCCTCCACATGGGCGGTGAATATCGGAGACTGGAGGAGGTCCATCGTTTGTGTTTGGAAGACGAGTTTCCGGAATCCTTGTCGGCGGGCGTGAGGAATGCCAAAAGGCTAGCTTGGTGGAGAATTGCTGTTTTACCAGGAATGCATATCGGGGAAAGGAGATAGGAGCTTCAGAACACAGTGGAAGAAGAAGGGGCCACACCTAGGTGAAAACAGTGATGCATGACTATCGGGACGAGCGAGGGCCTTATATAAGTACAGATACCTCATGCGGGCCTAGATAACTAGGTAGCTAAAAGGACGCATTGAGATGTCCCTTAATTATACAGTGGGTTAACTAAAGTAAAGACAGAACGGAAGTCACGGCATGGGTATTAGTCCTCCCACTAAAACTATAAATCGCGATGAACTAGCCAAGTAAAATATAATAAAATAAATAAAATTCTAGATTAGATAAAGCGAAGAAATTTTTACATCATAGGATCTATCTAGTATTTTTGTTTACTAGCCGTTGTTGTGAAATGCAGCTTGGAGACTTCTCGGCATTGATATGACTAGGCTTTCTAACATATCACCTTCAATCTCTTCCTAAACCTCTTCTGCAGCTTGGCAGAATAATTCCTTTACAAGTTGCCTTGGGGTCGCCAGCAAGGGCTATTAGGGAAGTCTGTCTCTTGTGACAGAATGCGCCATAGAACATCTAAGTAACTCTCCTCAACTTGTCCTATGTAGGAGTCTTGGCCCGGTGCGCAAAAGCAGCGGTCGCGCAACTCGACCCCTCAGTTACTGCAGAGGCAAAGTGTGGCATGCAGCAAAAGAGAACGAGATTGGCTTAGCGATAGCTTTTTCAATTGACCACACATATAAGGGGACAGATTGGTCTGCGACCAAGCAAGACAGGGACCAGCCCGTGACACCCTCACCCTAAGGCTATATGTTAGGCTCCTAGAGTCTCTAACCCTAAGCTTAATTAGCTGACGTAGATGGAGTATTAGTGTGTAACTTACACATTTGCAGAGTACCTAGTTTTGGCGCTCGTCTTATCTGCATGCAGTTAACATCTCGTCTAAAAAGACCCATGCTTTCCAGGCTTTCTCGGGTAAATCCACATGGCGCCGAGCATATTAAAGCCACTTACTAGAGTGTTTTAAAGTGCTAGACGTCTTCCGCCTTGAGGTATTGTAGTGCCATGTATAGAACCAGGCAATACACCCTCTCTAGCCACAATAACGCATGCAAATCAGCCCAAGTTGTATATTATTGCAATCCTCGTGCAAGTGCAAGGCGAATACACATGATGAGGGGCTTTTGGAAGCATTCTTGCAACATCTACAGCTATTTCAGATGTAGCTATGGGGGTTTGAGACCCAAATAGCGTCTACACTTTCGTAGACACTGTACATCTTGCCGTTAGGAGAGTCATCCAGGAATTAGTTTTTTTTTGGTCTGACGATATATCTACGCCAGCTGGCTAGGGGTCCTACACGACCTCCATGCTCAGTAATTGTCTTTGCTCGGAGCCACAAGGCATGGCGCAGACGTTATGTATCCAGTGACGCAAAAAGAGTCGGTGTCGAGGCATCCCTGGGACAAGGCCCGTCCCTTCCGAGGGCAAACAATTTAACAACTAGCGTACTTGTGAAACTGACCGCATTTACTGGGGTCAGAGTTTAGGGTAATGGCGTTCTCACAAGCAGTTATTTCGGACTCTAGCAATGAAATTTCTTTGCAGTCTCTTTATACAGGGGTATTTAATAGCTTAGAGACAGTATTGGAGGGATTTTTTGGAGAATTTTCTACCTAATGATATTTAGCGAATTGCAAGTTTTGCGGTCCAGATACTTTTGCTACCCAGCTGCGGAGAAACTCATCAGGTGCTATTATCCAACTGCTCGTAGAAACACACTAAATCAGACTGTTCCGCAATCTGTCCTTCTCCGCCTTCTCTCATTAGGCCTCTGCGCCGATGTCGATCGCCAAGAGCGGTCCGGATTTTGTGAGTTTCCACGGTACTGTCTAAGAGATAGCCCAAAACGTTCCGAGTCCACCGTAGATGATTCCTCCTCTTTGTTTCAGGGGGGTCTTGACGCAGTAGAACTCTGTACTTCGCTATGCTATTACTATTCATTTAGAGGTCCAAAGCTGCACGCATATACTCGCCACAGTATCTGCTGCAATCTCCTCAGTGACTTGATCTGCCATATAATTACGGGTTTGCGAGGTACTGCTATGTAAGCAGTGAAGATTGAAGAACTTCAGAGACGCTTCGTTATAACTCGGACTTCTAAAGGGATAGAAATAAGTTGTCACATTTCGCGCCGTAAATCCCCGAACGAGCCCAATATCAAAAACAAGGATAAATGCAGAGGGTGGGTTGTTGCTGATAATTGCTGCGAAGTCCCATCGAATTTACCCATGCTTTGGGGTCGTCTGTGCGAGATCCTGAGGGCGTCGCTACCCGACTTCTTGTCTGGGCATTCGGCAATCAATCAGGGACACTGCAATTCTTGGCGGGTCAAGGGCCTTGCGGCACAAGCAGCAACCTTGACGTTCGACTGATGAGTATAGGTGCTCAGGCGGTGGAGACCGGCATCAAACTTGCTCGCGAGGGGGGGGGCAGTGCTGGCAGGGTTCCACTAGACCAGGCAGTCCACAGGCAACCGACTAAGCGACGAAGAAACCTGCATTCCCTTGGATCATAGAATATGACCTATTACATGTCGTGGGCAGAAGAGTTTCGTTCAAGTGGCCCGGCCAATGGATAGCCTTAAAAGAGCTGTAACATCGAAGAGGGAGGCAAGGGGGAAAACAATGCCTATCTCTCCTGCCATTACGCGACTATGGGTGCGGGTTAGCACATCAAGGGAAGGCACCGACTGTGACAACTTCCAACAGCAGATTGTTTGTAGCATCTCTGGCTGCACTGGCCATCTTGTTGACGATGATGCAAGTCGAGCGTGATCGGCCGAAGAACAGGGCATTGGTAAGCCTCATTCGGCAGGGCCGTGTAGTCCCTTGTTCCCTCTGCGGTGGAGTTGACCCTAGCAAGCTGTTGACCTCGGTCTGCAATGGGGTCTGCAGCTGTAGACTATACTTTTCTAAGCTCAAATTCTTGGATTTTCCACTCCAAACCTACTCACCAAGAGCAGGGGATGATGCCTAACAGCCGGACAGTGAAGCCAAGCCCGCTGCGCAGGACTCTCCTGTAAAGCCTCAGCGTGGCAACTTCCTGGAATGTTCATGTGGTCGGGGATTCAGCGCGCCTCCGTTGCGCCATGGGCTGCAGCCAGAGTAATTCGAGGGAGAATTCCCAGAAGAGTCGGATGGCGTGCCCATCAGGGATGCGGCGGCTGCGAGGTTATCGAAGTATAGGGCAATCTTTCACGGTGGGGGAGGTCAGACCAGCGCGAAGGCCTTCCAGAGCTCCTCTCGCTTCGGCGTCGATAACTTCAGCTAGGCCAAGGCGGCCGGAGCCACTGGATACCAGGAGACCGGGGATGCCGAGGAGATACCGGCCTCCCTGGTATAAAAGGTCCCGCAGGTTCTCGTACTGCATACAGGCAGGGTAGAGACTGCCCACACCTTTGGCAACGAGTGGCAGCCGCGGGTCGACAGCTGGACCTTGAAGGGGCAAAAATAGTCGCAGCATTCTATAATGCGAAATGGCCAGTGAATAACATGCGCGGTAGGCGCTTTGGTATCATCAAGGCATCTCTTAGACCGGTTCGCTGAAAGACTTATTGAACTATCTCCTGGCCTTGCCCTTCCTCCTCTTCGCTCCTCCTGGTCCAGTGAAAGAGGTATCTGGAGTAGCCTTTTCACCGACGTTACCTGACTGGCTACCTTCTGCCGGCAGAGACATGGAGTTAGCGTCTGACTGTGCCAGACCATGGCTCTCCATGCTCTGTGAGAGTCCCGTCTCTGCAAGCGAAGGAACATTGAAATCCAGCTCGGATGGCACTTGGTCGATAGCCGAGCAAATCCTCTTAAAATGCTCCGGCATCCAGATATCATACACATTATGCGTAAAACGGTAGGCAGTCCACTTGTCCCTACCGTCCAGTTCCGTAAAACTAAACTCGCGGATCGGGTGACGATAGTACTTTGTGTCCTTCCCATTGATTACCGGGTAGTGGCCATAAATCCGTACTGACCGGTATTCGTGCGAGACAGAGAAGGCGAGGATTTGCCGATGGACCTCATCTTCACGCTTCACAAGGCGAAAAAGCTCGACAACGGCCCGTGCTGCAAGGGTCATATTATGTGCGTTCTGGCGGTCCGCTACGTCCAGCGCTGCGGCGCCGCACATCACCTCGCACGTCAGGAAAGGGAAGTGCATATAGTATGTGCCCATTAAGAGGGACTGATCCCCAGCTATAAAGTCACCCAGGAATGACGACAGCGTAGAGAGCTGGTTGTCGGTGAATGCGAGGCGTCTGAAGCCCACAGAGTAGTCGGGTTGGGGACGAGTTGCGGTCAGCGGGACCGCGTTGTTCCACCCCTCGTTGACGCTCTCAATCAAAATATTAAGGTGTTTGGCACCATACGTGCATAGATTTTCCGCCGAGGGAACGATAAATAGCATGATATCCCGGATAACTCTCGCCTCGTTTCTATCCCCAACCTTCCGGCATGTTTGTTCGAATATATCATCCCGGAATAGAGTGTTACTTGGAATCCTCTGATCTGAACTGAGCAAGGTGTAGCAAGTGTTACTGCTCTCTTCCGCGATCCCCAAAACTGATTTGTCCATGAAAGTGCCCTTGGTTGCAAGCAGGGTCTTATAACGCGGATCTCGGTATGGAGCAGTCTTCTCTTCCCTCGGCTTCTGATCACTAGGCGTCGTGGACGTAGCAGAGTTTGAGCGTTTGCGGACAGGAGACAACAGGGACCTCTTTCGAGCAAGTAAACGGTCTATGTCGTGTTCAAAGTATTCCTGCGGCCACTGCCCTTCTCTCGTCCAGAAATCAATCGGGTTGGTGGGCTCGTATGTGCCACCGTTACTAGTCGCGGTTCTATCAGAAGTATCCTCCAAAAGATATAGTCTAGAAGATAGCCGAGGCGGCTTCTGATGGCAATCTAGGTCGTGATCGAGCGCGTCGAGAGGTCGCTTCGTACCACGTTTGCCAGGCGTTGCGGATCTCTTAATGGCTTAACTTGGGTGCCTGAATAGTTACAAGGAGAGGAATGCCGTACCTGTTGAGATGGGATCTGCTTGGTTGGAGATGAAAGCGGCCGGACGGATTCAGTGCGCTCGGGAGCTGGTCGTCGTTGGAAGCTTGTCGTGCGACGGGTGCTTCTGGGCTTCCGGATGCCCTGGGGTCGCTTTCCTGTTTATTGTCAGCGAGGAGATCGCTCGGCGCCTCATGAAACAAGTACCTTGATATTTTGGCGCCGACGGTATGCCCGCCTTTTGGGTGGCCGACTGTGCTCGAGTGCGGGCCATGGCGGCGAGAGTCCTGGCGATGACGAGGTGCAATTGATCTTTGAGGGTGAGCGGGAAGCGCCGAGGTTAGCCAACAAAGCGCTAGTCACGGGACTTTGAGCAGCACCCGTCGGCCAACAGCCACCTACAGGCTACAGTACATAAGCGCCGCTGCAGTGGAGCTACAGAGCCACTGTCCATCCACTGTCTACAGCGCCTCCGCGAATGACAGCCGTCTGCTAGCCACGCCGAGGGGTATTCGTGGGCGCACTGGGAATCCTCGGGCTGCACTAACCGCAAGTCGAGCGTGATTGGCCGAGGAACGTGGCATTGGTAAGCTTCGTTCGGCAGGCGGTGGGCCGGCGAAACACCGGAACTGTGGCTGCCGATGACACCGTCACCCTTCTGGCGGGACAGCATCTCCGTCAACCAACTCGCAGTCTTGAGAGCCACCATCATTCGCCATCGCTCTATGTGAGCAAAAGAGCCCAGTTGCGGCATCATGCGCCGTCTCAGTCTGGTACTGCTGGCCGCGCTCCGGCTCTGCAGGGCTCGGAGCCCCGGCTTCAGCATCCATGACGACCTCCTCGCATTCCCACAGGTTCGTCCCGGCCGCAAGCTACGGCGCTTTAGCTGACCCCGTGCAGTTTGACGTCGTCTTCTCCGACGGATACGTCTCCGTCAAAGATGCCGAGGCCCTTCTGGAGAATCGCTCGCGCAGCCCGACCTATTCGGCCGATTTCTCCCAGCCTACCACGGGCAACACTCGCGAGGCCAACGCGGCAGAAGCCGACGGCGCCACCGACGCCTACTCGTACGAGATCATGAACATGTCGCCTCACCGCTACCTCTGCTCGATCCCCGTCATAGAACCGTCGCTCCCGGAAAACCAAACAGCCAACGAACTGGCCAGAAAAGAAGAGGCGCGGGAGCTCAGCCGGGCCGCCTCAAAGGGCTGGGAGCTGCTGACCAAGCTGGAAGACTCTTGCTTATACTTCATGTCGGGCTGGTGGAGCTACAGCTTTTGCAACAATCGTGAGATTGTACAGTTCCACGCCTTGACAGCCACGGCCAACGGCCAGCCGCCTAGGCGAGACCCCCACACGGCCGAGTTCATCCTTGGACGCGTTCCTAGCATCCCCGCCACCGCCGAGCGTCAAAAGCGACGACACTCTGACGATGCGCCGCCCCTGCCGGCCGAGCTCCAGGTCAAGGGCGATCAACGGTATCTGGTGCAGAGGCTCGAAGGCGGGACTGTCTGCGACCTCACGGGTAGGGAGCGTACCGTCGAGGTGCAGTATCACTGCGTGCCCGGGATGAAGAGCGATAGGATCGGTTGGATCAAGGAGGTCACCATTTGCGCCTACGTCATGATTGTCAACACCCCCCGGCTGTGCAACGACATCGCCTTCTTGCCCCCGCAGGAAACAAAGGCAAACCCCATTAGCTGCCAGCTCATCGCCGACGGCAACAGTGCGACACCACCTCTGCTGGACCCCGAAGCGCCCGTCATGAAAGACGATACTCCCGATGCCATCAAGCAGGCGGAAACAAGCGAGACCAAAGACGCCGAAAAGGAGACCGAGGTCACCGTGGGCGGCGTCGTCATTGGTGCACGCAAGGTACTATCTGGTGCTGACGAGGCCGGTAAGCCTCCGGTGAAGCTTGCGCCGCCCCGGGGATTCTGGACGGGCCAAGAAGCCAACGAAGACCGCTTGATCGAGGTTCTGGTCCGCGCCGCGAGTAAAGAAGACGGCGGCAAGATCCAGATGCCGACGGCCGAGGAGCTGGAACAGCTGGACATCGACCCCAAGATTGTCGAGGAGATGAAGGCCAAAATGGTCGAAATGGCTGGCGATGCGGGATGGAAGCTGGAGGTTGTCGAGTTGAACGGCGGAGACTTTAGGGAGCTTCGGGGCATCATCGATGGGGACGAGGCTGGCGACGAGAGCGGCAGCGTGCCTGGAGCGGACGCAAGCAGAGGAAAGAAGGAAGACAAGCAGAAAAAGGACAAGACGAACAAGGGCAAGCCGATCGAGGACAAGAAGAACAAAGACAAGGCCGAAGGCGGAAGCGAGGAGCAGTTCTTCAAAGAGGAGTTGTAGCGGACGGGGGGAAGCGGCGTTTTCGGGTCTGGCATTCGATAGTCGTTGACGACGATTGACAGCGTTATAGATTGCATCGGGCGGTAAAACGTCTCGGTAGGAACACGGTATCAGCCACCAAATGGCACATGTATTATGTGTACAGCTCATTCGTGGTTTTATCGATAGACTCAAACACTGACAAGGAAAAAGAGACTGAATGGCTACAAGGGCGCGGTCAGCGAGGACTCGAATGACGATTGCATGAAACACGAGCATACATGTATGCTCGCAACGGTGGGCTGCTGCAGGAGGCGTAGCTTAGACCAAGAAGAATCAGGCCAACCTAGCGAGATAGAGCTTTTCTTCAATGAAACAAAGATTCTTTCAAGCGACCTCTGTTAGATCCTCTCGTTGGCTTGTCATTTTCGCATGATTGCCTGGAAACTTTCTCGCTCCAATGACCTTTCCAGGAACTCCTAGCCAGCGTGAGTTCAACATATCTTCCACGCATTTGGCCACGGCCATCTAGAAATCGTGTACGCAACACAACTGGAGATTGGTGAAAAACATGTTGCAACACAGCTGGGACCGTGGACGGGCTGCGTTAGGTTAGTCTAGTTTCTCCGGTGCGGCAAGCTACATAAAAGCACGAAGGCAACAATCTCCAAACCGGACCAGCTACCCTTAATATTTGCGTACTGGCGTAGGAAAGGGCAAAAGGACCAAGAAACGAGCATACCTTGCGTTTGCTGCTCGAAGCCATCCTTGCTGCACTCTACTGGGGGTTAGAATAACAGAATAGCACTCGCCTAGAAATGGGAAGGTTACGCACTTGACGTTCGACGGTGGCGTATATTAAGAAACGCTTCCGGTCAATAAATCTACACATGGTATCAACAAGCCAACCTACATGGCTGCAAATCGCTAATTTCACTTATCAAACCCACTCGACTTCAGCAAGCACCAGAAACCACGGCCTCTACTAAATTGTACATTCCTGCCTTGGTCCTTGCGATGTTGGGGAAAGCCTTCTTCGCCCCTGGTGCAGGAACGCCTGTTCGCGCCCTCGACTACGTCGATATGTATGATGAAATAAACCAGGCGGCCCAGAATGCAGACGTAAACGCGAGAGGTTTTTAAGAGGTAATTCTAACGATATGCATGAAGTTTCGCCACCAGTAGCGAGAAGCTGGTTTACCAAATCCATAGAAAGTTTTGGCCGGCAATAATATACTGATTAAATCTAGTGACTAACTGTAAATGAAGTATGAGATCCGACGTGAGATTGTTCAATGAATGAGGTCTAGCTGGGACTCCGTGTGTATCACTTACACATGATGGAAGGTAAAGACAGTCGAGGAAAACGGCGAAGTAGATAATGAAGTGAGAGAAGGAAGGCCTCTTCTTTAGCCTGTTCTAGAAGGGACACGAAAAATCGCTGGTAAAAACGCAGTACGACTAGTTTCCTCGAGGGTTCTACAAAGGTAGCGTTTTTCTTCTTGTAAGTATATTCTAGCTATCCTTAACGTCTGAAAAAAAGAACATGATACGCGCTGGCCACCCTTGAGAGAATGGCTCGAAGACCACTTTTAGTTAAGCATTCAAAGAATTTTGCGTGCACTTTTACTGATGTCCTGCTCCATCAGGATTACGAGCACGATAAGGCAAAGAGTGAAGAATAGTGGGCAGTTGTTTAATTCTTAATCTCTGGGCAGTCTTTACGGAAGGCCAGAGACATTCTTGTTCCTTCTCTGGGAATTGCTATAGAAGTCTAGGTGCGACCATCCAGATCAAAAGGCCCGTTACATAGCATGTGCAAACTTATGGGTTCATCTATTAGTACACGATCAAGTCATACGGAGTATGTACCTGCGGCATACTCTCCTTCTCCACACGCCGCATACTTCTACAGAACTATTCTTTAATGTAACGTGGCTCGGGCAAGACATCGCTGACAAAGTAGACCTGCAACCGCGAAAATTTACCTTTAAGACGGAAGAAACATATGCTAAACTTCAAGTCAGACAGTGTGCTAATCAGTCCATTCCACGTGCATTTGATTGAGCAATTTCCACGACAAGGCGGATTATGAACTCAACAACAACCATTAGTCTGTTCTTCTCAACCACCGGCAGCATTGCGGCCGCCTGTGCTTTTATGATAATAAGCCGGCGATTTTATCTCACATGATTCTACGAGAGGCGAAACTGCTTACTCTCTTCTCCAACCGGGATAGACTTAAAAGCCTCCTTCTCAAGGACGGGGCTCCTTGATTATCGAGGCAGCACAGTATGTTCAGCAGACACGAATGAGGCAAGATCACGACAGGCACTGCTCATCGCCAGTTCTGTCGAAATGTGGGCATTTCCGGATGGACCAAAAGTTATAGACGGGGCATTCACCAATTTTTCTTCACCAAACCTTTCCTCCAGGCTGTTCTCTCTAGATGGAAACATGGGCAGTAGTTATGCTCCAAAAGGGAAGTAATAAGATCTGGTTCCCGTTGTTTTGACAGCCGAGAACTCTCCTGTAGCGGCTATCAAGGAGATAGTTGTCCGAAGGAAATAGTTTGTGTCCAACGGCTGTACAAATCACGAAATCCAGTAGTGAGCGATAGAAGGATATATTCTAGTCGGCGTTGTGCCTCCTATTATACAACTTCAACGCGATGCTAAACACAGACCATCCCGATGCGAACGCGATACCCATGAACTCATGAAGCGTGCTGTTCCTCTTCATATGTTGCCGAAGGCGAAAGGCCGCTCAGGCGCCATCATCAACACCGCGGGTGTTGCGCTTAGTAGCAGTGGCGGCGGCGAGAGTCCCACCTCTTACGGCTGCGGCAGGAGCATCCCCTGTGCTTGTCGTCCCAGTAAGCCCATCTGTCGTTGTTGCATCTGCGGTCGCTGGCCATGGCATTGCCTGGGTCGGCCTCGGGAAGGGCAGTGACAGAGCCCATGGTGAAGAGGGCAGCGACGAGGAATTGTTTGACAAGCATATTGGGCGAGTAATTGGGAGATATGAAGTGGAGCAATGAGAGTTGTTGGAAAGTGGTGAATATCGATAGAATGAAAGATGTTAATGATGAGGACGGGAAAGAGAACTTGGACGCAGACAAGCCGGGCTTATATATAAATGTAGGCCATTATGGCTATTCTTGATAAGACCTTGCAAGTGCAGCGTAACAACTCACTCAGACCCATTGAGGCTACCATCTCTTTTCTTTTTGCAAGGCTAGCTCCGCGATAAAGCCAGTAGATTGCTGATCAGTGGCGTGTCCTTCTGTGAGACGCGTATGGGCTTTACGTGGAGCCTAAAAAGCATTTTGACAGGCCGGTCTTCGCACACGTCGACCTATTCCATGTCAGTTCGTTGAATACGTCAAAGTGCCGTGTTGCCCGTGCCCGCTACCGGAATCGGCGAGCTCAGCTTTCGGGTTATCCAATCAAGCTTCAGACTTCTAGGAGCCAGGGGCATTCCCTTGGTCGCCTACAGAAGCAAATCCAGAAGACAAAAGGAACAAGCTGCTGACGGTCTTGCCGACGACCCGGCAAACCCCGTATTGTTATACAGCTGCGCGACGCTCCGACGGCCCATCAATGCCGAGTGCAAGGGGCCAACAAGGCCTGAGCGATGCCACGCGGCAAAAAGACAGAAGATCAAAAGGAAGATTGAGCTGCAAGCCTTGTTGGAAGTCTTGGCGCATCGAGCTTATGCGAGCTAAACATGTACTCGTGATAGGCGCAATGTCGTAACTCGTAAGACAACAAGGTAGCCGGCATAAGCGGGAACAGAAAGATCGACAACTGGCCATCAGGCTACACGCTCTTTCCCGAGAGACTGCCAGTCGGGGAAACCGGTGTCTATCTCAAAGAGTGGCACTTCTGTCCGGGCCGGATGGGAAGTCTGTATGATTTAATATGTTCATTCTATTACATGTGCCAGCTCTCTGTGACGACAGTTCGGGTCCAAATAGTGGGGGATTTTTCGCATGCGTGAAGGCTTGCGTCTAAAGTTTCCCAGGTGTTAATAAGCTCATTTCCTACCACGAAGATGCATCTGCCACGGCATAGCGCTCTGGCTTTATGCCGCAGCTTCTTAGATCCTACATGTAGTCATGACTCATGTACCCGGCTGTTGCCGAGGATGAAAGGGTGCTTTTACTCATGCTCTTTGACATGTCGATAAGACTTGCTGACCGCATGGCGAGAGCTGCTTTCAACGACTAGTCTGTTAAAGGCTCTCTTCGCGCATCTACCAGAGCATCCACAGGCATAGTTTGGAAAACTCAGCCTCCTCATAGGGTGCATCCTTGAGTTCTGGCTTTAGCTCGGCTAGCAGCTCAAGTGCCTTCTCTTTGCATTTTTCACTTTCAATCTGCATGCCTTTGTCTGCGAGAACAGCTGAAAGCTTATGGAGGGCTCGAGCTCGTTGTCCTTTGCCTTCGACAAAGGTCTCAGACATGCTCACAATCTCCTCAAGTAGTTGTCTAGACAATCAGCAGCTGCGCTACATGTTGGAGAGCAAACACCTACATGGCTGAGCTCGTATGGCCTTCGTTGAGCAGCATAGAGGCAACATCGTATTGCGAATCGCAGGTTTTGAGCCGATTGCCAAGCGATTCGCGACGAAAAGCCAGAGCCTTCGACGCCAGCCGCAAAGCTTCGGTCGGTCGTCCCTGGGAGAGGCGGATTCGCGATAATAAGACCATGTCTCCGGAGAAGCGAGGGTTGCCGGTGCTGAGGAAGGTTTCATCGGTGAAATCTACCAGAGACGGGCACCTAGCCAGCATCTTCTCAGCGTCGTCTGGACGACCCATGCGAAGGAGAAGACTCGCCATGTTGCTGTAGGAATTCCCGATCCGGTCGCTGTTTGCCTTGAGCCTGAGGCGGATTGCTTCCTGGTGTGCTTCGTGGGCGAGATCCAGCTCGCCCATTTCGGTGTATGCAAGCGCAATGTTGTTCAGACTGTAGGCAATAAAAGGGTCTTCTGGTCCAAGCCGGGCCTTGCGTATTTCCAGGGCATGTTCAAAGGGCTTGAGGGCGCGAGCGGCTTGCGCAAGATCCAGGTCGATGAGGCCGTGAAGATCAATCGCGCTTGCGTAAGCTAGAGACGTGGTATCGTCAAAGGCAGACATTGCCTGTTCGACCATTCCTCTGGCAATGATATATACCTCCCGTTCGTATAGATACCTAGAGAGTGAGCAACAGCCTCGAAGCATTGGAGTCCAAGACTCTCACCAACTGCATCTGAGAAGCAGGTCTGCAAACTTCTGTCGATTGCTTGCATTCTTCCCGCGACCTCTCGCAAGTTCGACCAGGTAGTTGAAGTGAGGAAGACAATCCTCACATCTCGCCCACGCTAAACTTTGATGGCCAATGTCGGTGCTCGAGTGATCTGGGAATCCCCAACAGAGTATGTGAGCCGCAGTGTCAAAGCACTCGGCGCTCTCTGACTCGTCGAGCTTCTCTCTAGCTGCGGACTGCACCAGACGATGGATCGAGAGGGCCGTAGAACCCCCGGTTCGATTGATGAGGGCTGCTCGTAGAAGTTCTTCCGAAGCGTCACCAAGGCTGCGCAGTCCTTCCATTCAGCATCGAGCTTGACAAGATCTCAACTTGAAGAGAGAAGGGTCACACTTACTCCATTTCATCGGATAGAAACTTGAATCTATCATCAAGACCATGAGAGCCTCGCAACAGGATGTTCTCTGAGATCTTGTCCGGGCTTAGGAAGGAAAGCAAGTTGAGAAGAACGGTGGAGGTCTTGGTCAACTTCTCGAAGGAGATGTTCCACACAGTACTCAGCGTATGCTCATAGTCGCTGCCCGGCGCCCCCCGAGCATCGATCTTGGCGGAATACCTCTCGTACAGAGGTAGGAATTCCTGTAGAGAAATCCTTCGCTGAGTGATAAATCCACCGATTTGAGCCAGGGCCAACGGCAGTCCGCCAAACATCTGGCTGATGGCCAGGGAAAGTTGCACTTCCGTCGACGAGGCTGAATCCAGCCCGACGGCTTTGAGAAGCAACTTGCTGCCGTCTTCATCAGACAAGGCACCAATGTTCTCATGCTGGGCTGCCAGGGTAGTGGCAATGGTCAAGTCGCGTGTGGTGAGCAACATTGACACCGGGCCCCTGGTCGCTCCCGGCCATGCCGTTTTAAGAGTATTTATGTCGTCTGCGTTGTCGAAAATAACCAGGCAAGTTGTCGCTGTCCATCATCAGTGAATGTAGTTGAACCTCGTTTTCTCGTTGGAATGGCATACTGGTCGTGATGAGCCAATTTTTGACCTTCCATATGGCAGCAGCACCATCTGCCAATACGCCGTCGGTACCCAGCAGCCCAAGCCCTTGGGCGATGACCCGAAAACTCTGGCCGATTGTGATGGCATTCTCGGCCGCAACCCACAGGATGACTTCATACCGCTCCAGACTCTGGTGCGCGTACTGGACCGCAATCTGGGTTTTGCCAACACCGCCCATACCAAACAAGGCCATCGAGTTGGGTGAAGATACGTGCTTGGGTCCCAGAGCCTTTTCAAGCGTGTCCAGGATATGCTCGCGCCCACTGAACTTGACGTTGCAAGAGAAGGGTATGTTGTGGTATCCAGTCTGCGCTTTGTCGTCTGTCCTGCCCATCTTGATGGCGTTGAGGAGCTCTAGGACCTCCCGGTAGCGCACTCCGTCCTCTCGCATGCGTGCCATGTCGGCCTCGCTCTCCACGGTTGACGACATCCGCTTGATACGCATGATAGTGTGAGAAAAGTCATTTCGGAAAGTTTGCCACGCATTCTTCCTCAAGACCAGGTGAGGATTGCTACGGAGGAAGTGTATGGTTCTTGCGTAGAAGCAGATTGTCTCGCAATACACGTCTACCAAGGCCTGTTGGAGCTGTCGATTCGGTGGCATTGTCTGCTCGTAGACTTGGAGGCGTGGAAGCGTCAGGCTGAGCTCCTCGAGCATATCGAGAACATCCTGAAGGGTCTCTGCGGCTGAGGACGCGTGCATAAGGATGAGCCTGATGCTTCCCCAGACAGCCGCGGTTAGAGCCGCATCAGCTCCAAAGCACAAGGCCAGCACGGCGGAAAAGTCGTCCACAAACTTGAGCCTCGGCGCAAGTCTCTTGAGGGAAGAGAGGTCCCCGAAATGGGTCCCAGCAGTGGTCTGGATCGAGGCAAATGAAGCAATGAGTTGCTCGAGAGACTGAACATCCTGGATGGCTCGGTAATCTTCGGCGCCTTGCAGCTCGTCGAGATACTTTTCCAGTGCTTGATGCCACAGTGGACTGGAGTGCGGGCTGGCTCAATAGGGTTAAGCTTAACTCAAATGGACTCCACGGGCTTCGCCAGAGAACTCACTCCATCATTTCTTTGCTTAGCCGCGCGCTTGGTGGGCGGAATGGCAAGGTCTTGAGTCTCGATTCACGCACCCGCCTTGACAGGAGATAGTGGTGAACCCCGCGTGCCGGGTCGGGCAGCCCTCACATTGAAGCTATCTTCCGAAATGACGATAATCGTTATAACAGGGAACGGTCACACGTGGCCAATCATGACGGTCGTTGTTCTCACGGGCACAGACATATGCATGTACGAATCCGGGGGCGGTGTTTGGCGTGCGGCAGTCCGTGTCCTAATCTCAGCAGCGCCCGTGTCCTTCTTTGGTACAAAAGAATAGACGTATGTACTTCGTGTCAAGTGGTAAATAACTCCCAACGGGCTCTTCATGTTGCTCAAGATCATTGTAAGGCTGCAGGGGTCATCTAGCCGGCCGCACGCCAGCACCTTGTCCCTCTCGAAGGAAGAAAACACTGGGATATCCTGGATGTAGCTTCTCGCATAACATGAATGTCCAACTGTACGTTCTTTCGGGTCCTCCGTTGCCCGTGTATCCTTGCTTTCAATGTTCTTGCACTCCAATGCTGTGGGTCACCATCCACCAAATTTGATTCTACGCACGCCTTTCCGTCAATGATCGCACCGCTTTGGAAACTGCCCCTTGCTATGGCTCATCACTCCGGGGATCAAGCTATTGGTATTTGCGGCTTCCTTCTCCGGAGCAATCCACCACGAGACTGACTCCAGGTTCTTCACAGAAGTGCCATCCCTGGCTTGTATAGGCATGGCTCCTGAGCTGGTGCAAATCACTCCCGATCCTACGTTCGACGACGCCCCATGGTATCGCTGGTGGGTGCTGCAGCAGGTCCGCAACCAGCCGCAACGCCTACTGCTCAGTCTGCCAGACATCGAGCCCGACAAGGATCCAAATTTCGTCACTTACTTTCTCGTCTGGGACCATATCCGGCAACTCATTAGGGCCCCGGGACCCAAAAGCATCGATGGCATGACTGATACGCTCACCAACCTCGGCATCATTGCCATTAATGACAACAACGAGGCCGCTCAGTCGGCCAAAGACCTTGTTTTTGCCACTCTCGGCTGGCAGACAATGCTCTACAAACCCGACTTTGCTTCGTGTTCGGCGGGAGGATATAGCATTCTTGACGAAATGGATGGGTTTAACGGGGGAGCGCGGCTCAACCTCAACCAGTTTGCTTCATCGAGCAACCGAAACTTGCCCGACTTTCTACTAGGGTTTGGCATGATGCTGCCACCACGAAACTACTGCTCCTTCCATGGCGCTGACGACCAGGCCCTCTTCAATCGGGCCAAAACAGTCATCTCCAAGGAACTGGATGCCTATATATTGAGCAAGGTATGCGGCCTCACGTTTCAATGGATCGACTCTCTCTCTTGCCATCTCGAACTGGACACACGCTCCGGTACGCTTTTCCTCTACCGATATCCGTCTTTCTGCATCTCAAGTCTCCGACGAGGCGAATCACAGCATGAAAGAAACCGAAAGAGCCCGCTCCATGGCTGCGCCCTTGAGGGGCCCGGATCGGTGCCGTGGGCGAGAGAGGACGACGTCAACGAGTTGCTTCGGGAAATCTTGCTGTCCTACCGTCTCATTTTCGGTCAGAACAAGAGATCGAGGGCGCTATTCCGGAAACTTCGACCGTTCAATCGCATATCGCAGCAAGAACAAGATCAACTTCTTTCTCGCCTCTGCGGTAGGAAGAGGCTAGACAGTTCCGTCACACTGATCGAGCGGGAGGAGTACAACCTGTCCACAGACTTCCCTCACCTCCGAAGTAGTATAGTGCGGCTGAGTAGTTATGCATCCAGCAAGAAGCCCCGTTCGCTTCGACAGTTGTGGAACGATAGGCGCGACTCTACCGCATGGCTGGCTTTCTGGAGTGTCCTCGTTTTCGGTTCGTTGAGCGTCCTTCTGGGTCTCATCCAGGCAGTGTTTCAAATATTGCAATATGTCGATGCTTTACATAGTCATAGTCCTTGAGATTGAATCATTGATGAAAAGAGTTACAGAGTGCGTCACACCTCACGCTCCACCCAGCTCTTGATGACGCCTTTGATTGTTGGCTCATATTCCTTGAGAGCGACAGTGTCCCCATCCAGGAAGGTGTTTCCGTGCACGAAGAGGGACGGAGGAGGTTTGTTCGCCAGCACGGCCTCTCGCCACTCGACATATTCGCCGTCGACCCTGGAAAGCTCTTCATAGTACGCGCGACAGCCTTCCACGTCAGCCGTGCACCGATACATGTGTAGCCGCAAGAGCATCCTGCCAAGCGCTGGCTTCCCATGCGTAGCAATCTTGGACCTATCGACCCGCACCGTCAGGCTTTGTGTTGGCTTGTGGTGGGTGACTGTCACGACGTCCCCGCCATCGAGGAGCAGACACTTGAGGATAGCAAAATGAGCCTGCCGCATCGTCAGCGTGTGTCCAGTCTACATGGTTCGATTGAGACCGACTCGACTGTGTGCCTGGCCCCATTTCTGTGCAGTAGAAGTGAGCACATATTTCATGTCAATTAGTGGCGCCAGAGCTCACCCTGCTGTCGACATTGAAGTTCGAAAGCCCCCGAAGGCCATCAACCCCCAGCTGCTGATAGAGATTGTAGGTGACTGCCAGTGTCACGTCAGTTTATGTCTTTCCAGTCCCCAGAGCTACTTACTATCAACGGCTTGAATTGCCGATGTCTGGTGGAAGCCAAACAGCTCCAGAAGCTCCGGATCGTCCATGAGATAGGCCCCGACAAGCTCGGCTCTGCATTCGTCTACCGTAGTCGCCAGGTCAGCAAACTGCCCGGTCCACGTCTGGCCACGCTTGTACCAGCACACGATGGGCTCTCCGGTGATGGGATTGATTGGTGGGTCTTGAATGTCGAAGTTGTGTTCCCCGTCGTCGAGCTCAACCATCATTCGCCCCGTTCCATGGCCGAGGAGCTCGTGAAGCACAACCCACCAGTAGTAGGCAGGGAATTTGTGCTCTTTGAATTGCTCCATCTCGGAAGAATCGATGAAAAGATGATGTTTTGCTTGACTTTCAGCAACCATTCGGTTGGCAACAATCACGTTCTTGAAGCCGTCTTCCTGTCTGATGTCATTGTACTACAACCATGTTAGTCAAGGATTGTGCGGCAGTCTCGGTACTGGTTCAACAGACGTTCGGTAGGTTGATTCCTGGGAAAATGATGCTCGAGCAGTATGCAAGGGCTAAGAACATGTAAGCAAGTCACGTCTCCGTCGCCGACGCATCGTCACGCACTGTGGATGCTTGAAATGTCTGGAGGCTCGAAGAGGGATTTTTCGAACAATCCTTTGCCATCATTCTCTGGTCCAGCCCACGGTAGTCGACGGATGAATTTCGCCGAGTTGTCGACCAGTTTGGCAAGGAGTTTGGTCTCTTCGTCGTCGGCAATGCCTACCAGAGCCTCGAATTCCGATCGTACTCCTTGAGGATCACGATATGGTTCGACGAAGCCAAAGATATTTTCCACCCTCGGCGCCTTGTCACGGACCCAAACTCGCTGCGACGTGCGGTATGCGTCCAGGCTGCCGGTTTGGAAGCTTTCGACGTAGGCGCGAAGAACGTCTCTCTGCCGGTCGTTGGCCGCGTACTTGATTGCTTCCGAGAGTTCGGCACAGATGCGTTCTAGCTCAGAGGAATGATCCCCCCGGACAAGCTTGACTGAACCCTTTCCGTCTGGGAGGGGAAAAGCCTGCACAATATTGCCGCTCCGTACGGAGGCAAGTAGGACCTCAAAGTCGCTTCCATTCTCCGCTTTCCTTATCCTAGTGTTTTCTGGAAAGATGGAGTTTTGTTCGAGAACCTTGGATACCATGGCAACTTCTTTCTCTGTGATGTTATTTCCAGGATAATAACTACTTTGGGTGGTCTGGCTAGGATAACCAAGACTGTAAGGGGGCATAGAGTTGATGGACGACATCTCCTCGTATAGTCTGGACAGTCTAGGAGATCTTGCCGCGAGTTTTCGGAGAACTTTGTCATCCAGACCAGGGATAAACTTTTGATCTCCAGAGCCCTGCGTGGATTAGCACAAGTCGCAATGCACGAGGAGTTGGGACGCACAAAATAGTTGCCCACGTTTGACAAGAACGTTGCAGCATATGTCAGGAAGCTATGGAGATGCTCGCTGCTAATGTCCGATCCAATGAGGGCATCCCAGTTTCCAGAGCATGTGCGATGCAGTTCGAGAATGAAGTCGAAGATTGCCGGTGACTCTGGAGAGACTTGTCGAAGAATGATTCTCGCTCCAAACCAGGCAGCACTGCAAACGGTGAGCAGTTTCGTCGACCGCATGGGGGGATTCTCGCCCACCGAGCCATGTGGTGCGCATATCGCTTTTCCCTCACAGTCAAGCGCCTGAATTGAGCCTCGACGCCCAGTTGAAAGATCTGGACCTCGCTGACGGCCATTGTGGATGGTGGCCGTCTGGCAAGTTATTTATCAGGGATGATGTCGAAAACGAACAATGGGATCTCCTGGATCTGAATTTAGAGAGGCTCATTGCAAGTGAGGTCGTGTACATGTACTGTCAGGGACTGTGGGGGGAGCTCACTCTGTCCGATATATCGATTATACAAACTTCAGCTGTCTGGCCTTGGTGACGTGTGTGCGAGCGAGGCACGCGGCTGGCTGAGGTGACGATCCGGGGATTTCCCCTCCCCATGCGTCGATGATATTCTGTTGCATGTACCTGAAATAAAGTGATAACCGGAGATGGCCCAGGATACGTTGGTCCGCACAAAAACCCTCCGAGCTCCTCTGCCGTCGGCCATGCGACGCGCAGCTTATCTGAGCCGTCAGACAACCACCCAAAACCATCTCCAGCATCTAGAGGGCACAGGGCGAGCACCATCAAAAGTTATCGAAGTACTTTTTATTACCTGCAGTACTTGATGCAGTAAAGATAGAAACCCGCTAATGTTCGGCCGAGCTTAAACTGCACGAACTTTATACATGATACCGTCAACGACCAAAGCTCTGTTCATGTATGTGCCCGCTGCACCTCTTTCAGGGCATCGACAGGAACAGGGAGAGTTAAAACGGCTGAGATCGCGCGTCATATTAGTGTACCGCCAACAATCAGACTGTTCGTCAATCAGGAAGGCCACTTACGTTTGCTTCATCAAACTCTTTTCCTGAAAATGGATCTTCCGGAAACGCTCCAAGTCCTCCGGATAGCGGATCTTAAAACTGTTGTCCGGGTCGAAAAACTCCTGATCCCTCTCCTGGTTTAAGTGGTGCTCCGATACCTCCTCCGAGCGGCGTAAATCCTGGCGGTGTTTGTCGGGCAACAATCTTTGGGTCTGTCAGTGGCGCAGCTGTAGCTAGTCCAGCAAGAACAGCGACAAGAGTCATTGAGACCTTCATCTTGGCAATAAGGCGTTGGTGAAGAAAGATAACTGGGAGCGAAGAATGAGGCTTAGGGAGCAAAGATTGAGACTTGGGGAGCAAAGATTGATTTTCTGACGTCGAGTTCCGCTGCTATATATACGACATTTAAGTACGTGGGTTAGAGTCGTGATCGAGCTCGTATAAGGAAGAATAAGTGCCGAGGCATGACTTCAAGGATTGTATCTAGCTAGCTAGCTGCTATAACGTGTCTTACGCCGTTAATTTAGTACTTATAGTAGCGAGAACCTTATATATACTTTATTTAGCTAATAATTTAAAAGTAAACGATACTTATTTATCTTATTTCTTTAAGTAGCTTAACCTATCGACTTAAGCGGTTAATATAAAGGCCTATCGGATACGCTATTATAGCTATATTCTTAATCTTATTACGCGCGTGTTTCTTTTCGGTAAAGATACTAACTCTTTTAAGTTAGAGTTAGATATTAACGGTATAAAAGGTCTTATAAAGCAAGACCTTTATTATTAGCGTTTAAAGGGCTTAATTAGGAAGCTCTATAATATCGTTAAATTTATTAAATCGTTACCTTAACGTAGCGAATATTTTAAGTATATCGCTTATAAGGAGGAGTATAAGGGGTACTATCTTTCTAAGGAATTAACCGCCGAGCTTAAGCCTAATATATTACTTTAAAGATAAATCTTATAGATAAGCTTAAGGCTAGATAGCTTTATAACTATACTTTATAACTTTAACCTCTTAATATAGCCCTTCCCTAGGTTTTATATACTTTTTATCGCGATTAAAGGATATTAATATAATAAGAATCTAAACTATAATAGTTTCTACCTATATATAACTTATACTAGTATATACTATATAATACTAATTATCGCACGGAGGATAAGTAAGTAAGTATAAAGATTAGGGACTAGAAGACTCTTAATTCTGCTATCTAGAGTAGAAGAATAGTACGATCTTTATAGATAAGATAAATAAATAACTAGAAACTAATAGAAGGTTCTATAGGGAACGGTAGCGTAGCTAACGAAGATAATACGAGTTATAGGCTAACTATATAAATATAGGGATCAGACTATTAGAGGCTAATATACCCTATATAATATACCCCCCTAGGTTATGCTAGCGGTTAGCAGTATAAACTAAAAGAACTAAATCCCTAGCAATATAGCGATATTAACGAGGCCGAGTTATTAGACGAAGGTGTTAAATTTCTAGCCTAGCAGAGCCTTTATAAGGCCGTCTGCGATTATCTAAGAAGTAGGCGTATAAGCGAGATTATAGAGGCCTTCCTTAAATGCCTATCTAGCCTAATAAGTATAAATATCGATATAACGAAGGGCGGTATAAAGGCGAGGTATATCCTATATAACTAGACGAATAGTCTATATATTATTATATTAGATAGTTGGTTTTCCGTCGAGCTTAAGAGAAAGCTACTTAAAGAGACGGAATATAGCGATAGTCTCCTTAGCTATATACGTAAGGGCAAGAAGCTCTACTTCTATTAATAAGGTTATAACTATATCCTATTTCCTAGCTTTCTAAGTAATAGGGCCGCCGAAGAAAGTAAGAATTAAACCCTATAATAACTTATATATTTCCTTATTATTAGCGAAAGCGGCGTCTAAAGCGCTCTAAAAGTAGCTGTAATATTAAGCTTAGATTAGAGCAATATAGTCTCCGTCGAGGCTAGAGGTGCCTAAAAACTAAATAGCGAGATACCTAGTAGCGTATAGGTACTTAATTAGATAATCCGCGAGCTTAGAATAAAGCTCGGAAGGGTTATAAAGGAATTTAGCTAGTTTAGATACTAATTTAGCTATATCTAGACGAGTAATATACGCGGCATAGTTTAGCGATCTAACTTTACTTTAATAAAGCTAAATCTAGTCTTAAGAAGCTTGCCCTATATTTAGCTAGACTTTATTATATAGGAAAGGGGCTCCTTTAAAGGTATCGAGGTATCGAAGGCTAAATCGTTAAACTATCCTTTTAATATAGAAGTCTTAGTAAAGCTAAAGCTTCCTATTACTTCGGTCTCGGAGAACCTAAATACCGAGAAACTACTATAATTCTCCTTAATCTATTATAGCGTACTTCCTCTTAAGGGCTATAACTATCTAATCGGCTATATCTTAACTACCCTTACGATAAAGGAAGACGATGTTATTAACGAAGAAGAAGACTATAAGCTAGTCGTTCTAGAAGATATAGGGCTTGTCTAGACACTATAAAAGACGAAGCTCCTTAAATGCTATAGTAAGCTCTTTCTACTAAAGGAGGGGGGAACGCCTAAGGCTATAGAGGGCTCGGATAAGGCGAAGAACCTAGCCTTATCTATAGTATTAGTTAGGGAATAATATATAGACCTCCTTATTATCGTCTAAGAGGGCATTAGTAAAGGCGTTAACTACGTCGAGCTATTAGGTCTTAAGGTCGAATTTAGCTATAATAGCTATAAGAACTCGGAAGGATCTTCCGGTAAGTATAGTAGTATAGGTGTCCTTATTACCTAGCTTCTAAAGGTCTCCCCTAACGTATAAGCGGGCTTTAAACTTTATAAGAAACCTATACTTATCGAACTTATAACGAAATACCTAGGTTAGCGGAAGTAGCTTCCCTATTACTTAATCCTTTAAAATAGCCTTAAAGGTGCCTCTCTATTAAAGTGCGTTTTATTTAGCGTAAGCTACTTCCTTAAATTAAGGGCTAAAGCGGTAAGTATAAAGTTCCTTATACGTTATTAGCTCTAAGGGCAAAGAGCGGCGATAAAGCTTTTCTTCTTATCCGAGAAAGAAAGAGCTATAAAAGTAGTTCTAGGAACTAGTAAAGCTACCGAAGTTCCGCGGCTTAGCCGGACGTAATAAACGTCGAAGTTACTAATCGCTCGGAGCGAGATTAAGCGTCGGATATAAGTTATCTATATCGTGAAACTCTTAGTCTTCTAAATCGTCGTATTAAGAGGGTTCCTATCGAACCTTAATAGTGCTAGCGTTGTCTTAGCCTAATATAGTCGAAGAAGGGGTATCCGGTTAAGGATTAGGCTTTTTTATACGAGTAGGTATTTCCTCGTATTCCGATTTATCTTCGATATATACTAGAAGCTATACTTCTAAGTATTAAGGGATAGGCTCTTATAGCTCTACCTTTCCTTTATAGAACTCGTGTTCGTTAAAGGTTATATCTTTAATCCTTCGGACTTTAGATAATAAAGGGATCTAAATCCTAAAAATATTAGTAGAGTTATAGCCTACTAGATAACCGATTTCCGTATAAGGGTCGGTCTTAAGGTCCTTTTTCTATTTATTTTAAAGGGCCTTATTTATTAAAGGGTAGGCTTAGTAGCTATACGCTTTAAGAAAAGTAATATTAGGCTAGAGCTATTAATAGCCTTTATCTCTATTATTTTTACGTAGCTACTAATAAAGTAGCTAGAAGGGTATCTAGAAGTTATAGTGCTATCTAGGCGATCTATTATATAAGAATACTACTACTTTCTAAGTTTTAGGCTAAAGATCCGATAGAAGATTAGCGTTAATCCTTATCGTTCTTACCTAGGCGGCTATTACCCCCTTAGATCGTTCTATAGCGCCGTTCTAAGTAGGAGTATAAGGGGCTATAGGCTTATCTTAAATCCCCTTTTCCTTAATCTAAGACTTATAGGTATAACGACCGGTGTTATTCTTAAGGGATAAACCTATCGAGGGGTTTATATTAGTAGATATAATAGGGCGTGGTCTAAGTAATAATAAGTATATTACGTTAGTAATAAGTTAGAGGTTATAGACCGTAGACTATAACTAAGTAATTAGAATTAGAGATAGAATCGTAATAAAGATCTATATTAAAAGCTAGAGAGCTATCTATTTAAAGGAGTAAAAGTAGGTAGCTATATATACCTATAGAGACTATCCTTAGATTATAGGCCTAGCTATAATCCCTAACGTTAAATCGCATAGAGCGTAATAATCCTATTAATCCTAGATTACTTAGATCTCTACGATCCCCTCGATCCTATATCTATTAAATAGT